AAATTTATTATAGTTGTGAATTATCACAATTCACTTTGTAGTTAAGTAGTCTTTGTTGGCATTAAATTATACGTAGTACTTCGTAATCCTTGTACTCAATATGAATTTGTTAGTATTTCTTAAATGGGTGTTATAACAAAACTTTTATGAAAGAGATTAACAAGTAGGAGCAATTTTTTTAGACATATATAGAAGCTACTTGTACCATCTCCTTCAGTTTTCGTATGGATCTGCTTATTCTTTGGTAAACTGTTGTCCTCTTTGAATAAAAATCCGGGATCTTATATCAACACTAATAAGCACTCCGTACTCGTGTTATAAATTATACTTTGTATAATAACACAGAATACTCAGTTATAATACTGTATTAATATATACTTCAAATTTATTTATTTATTTTGAAAATATATTTTCATACTTATAGTCTGTTCACTTCAGCTTACTTTTAATTTAGGTCAAATCAGCTCAGTTCAGCACTTAATTCCTTTCTTTCATAAAATATTCAGTTCAGTTTGATTCAGCTCCAATAAATGTAAACACGCCCTTAGCATAAAACCTACGCTTATGTTGTGGTAAATTTGAAATAAAGAAAGAAGATACTAAAATAGTAATTCCAATCAGTTTTAATTTGCTGGTTTCGGGTGTTTTTCATTTTAACAACATTTCCTTTATTGGCATTAATAATATCTAGATTTACACTATTCTTTGCCACCTTTTTCTTTAACTTTTGGAATTATACTCACCTTTTCTATTTTTTTCACTTCCCTTAAAAATCAAGCCAAATGCAAATATAGCAAATAAAAAAAAGACAATAGGAGTACTAATAAGACAATAATGAAAATATTTATTTCACATTTCACTAATAATCTAACAATTACAAACTCAATACTCGAAAGAGGTTGAACAATTCTAGAAAAAGAAAAACCTATTGAACAATTAAAAAAGAAGCAGCCTAAAAATTGACACTATTTGGTTAGAAAAATCACAAACAAGTAATAAACGACATCGTTTGAATGAATCAGCAACGAGGGGAGGTTCGCTTGGGTGCGGCGCTCCCTTTGGTAGCTGCACAAGTTCCACTACTTCGTGATCTTTTAGCAGCCGTTTGATCAGCGTTTAAGTCAAAGCACATCCCATCTCCACCACCTACCATTTCCACGAACATCTTTTGTAGATCTTCTAGACTCTCCGTCTGCCATTTTAGTATTACCATGCATTATTACTTATAAATATAAGTATCCCTTGTCATTTTCATTTATACCCTTTAATTATCTTCATATTTCATTTCAACCCCCTTATAAATTATCAAAATTCACCCTCAGTCCCAGTGTTTTTATAATTTACTAAAGAAAACAACCCTAAAACTAACAAGGGCCCCAATTAAACACCAATCGATACGTAATTTTGACATACATTTTTAATTAACTAGTACTATCACATTTGCAGAATTACAAGTTAAAATGTTAAAACGTGTCAACTAAAAAGAGCTGAACAATACATTCAATTGACCGAAATATAGTTACGTGGAGTCTTATTTAGCTAATTGTAGAGAAAAAGTTGAGAAATTACCTCGCCTCTAACATTGTCCATCATTGAGAGCATCTCTTGCATAAAATCACAGAACCCCTGTTCCATATAATTACACCTAATTAATTCTTAAACAAAATTGTCACATTACGGCATCGTTTAGTTACAAACGGCGCCGTAATAGGCAAATGATCAACATGCAAAATTTCTTAATTCCACCAAAAAATTAAATGAAAAAAAAAAAAATACGAACTTGATCTTCTTCTTCCGTAGGATCATAAAATCCGGCGTCATACATTGATCGCTTACCCTGATCTGACAACACTACATAATAATTCCCAAAAATAAAATTAACTCAAATCAAATTAAATTAATAAAAAAATCAGTAAAATTATAATTAGTGAGAAAAACCTGAATAAGCTTCTTGAATTTGCTGAAACCGGCGTTTCGCTTCGGCGGAAACGGAAGGATTACTCGCCCATCTATCCGGATGCCATTTCTTCACAAACCCAAATTAAAATTAAAAAATAAATTTAAAAAATTCCGCGAAAAATGTTTTCTGTCAAAACAAACGGAGCCGAAAAGAGAGTATATATATATATACATACAAGTGCAAGTTTCCGATAAGCGGAACGAATGTCAGACGCAGAAGCATCCTTACGAAGACCAAGAACAGAGTAATAGCAAGATCCATTACCACCGTTGGATCCTCCACTTCTCTCCATTTTTCACCAAGATCAAACGGCTGAGAAAATTAGAAATATAATTCCAAGGTGAGTCGACAAATTGAGGAATATATATAATTATATACTGGGTTGAATCATGGAGAAAATTGTAATGGAAGAAAAAAGAGGAGAGAGAAAAATATCTGTGGAAAATAGAGGTGGGGATTTATATGGGAGTTTCTCTCTCTAACTCTCCGAAGAGGAGAGAGAGGGGGTGGAATTGAAGATGCTGACGATGGAGGAAAGTTCGAGAATTTCAGAATTGATAAAGTTAAGTGAAGGAAGAGGGGGTGGGGGGAGAAGATATTTTTGTTGTGTGAGTTTGGGATTGACCTTGGAGGTGAGTTTATTTACGATTCTTGCCATTTTACTTGCCACGTTGGAAATTGGAAAAAATAAATTAATTTAGAGGAAGTGGTGTTGTCTGTTGTGTTGTTGTTAGGTCGCGTGTCTTAAACGATGTGTTTTGGGAAGTGTTGGAAGATTAAATTGCCTAAATTGGTGATTGTGTCATGGTGAGTGTAAGAGTGTTCTTTAGATTTTGTACAAAACTTAATGATTTGGTCATGTAGGACGAGTACTTGTAGTTTGGAACTTGTTGCTCATTTTTGTATCATCAAAGATGATTCAATGTTCGCATATACTTGCACAAAATATAAACAAAATCAATCTTAAAAGTTGCGGATTACATCTTTGTTCACGATAAAGACAAATATTGTCATATTAAAAATGTACTAGTCTTTTGTATTACATTCATTTCAGACACTCTAATTTGTTGAATCTAAAGAAATGGAAAAGGACAAAAGAGAAAAGATAATGAGGAGGACAATCTTTCTTGTTTAAATAATGGATTGTGAAAAAATTTGTGTATACTTGGGTGTAAGAAACATACAAGGTTATTATAATGCTCATTTAATGATTTTTTTATAATTATTTTGAAGAAAAGAGTTTTCATTCTATTAATTTAATGGTATGTTTACATTTACTGAACTGATTGGAGTTGAACTAAACTGAACTGAACTAAAATTAAGCTGAAGTGAATTCAATCGTACATATTCAACGTTGACACTTATGTCCCATCTAGCAACTAGAATAATCATTAAAATGAAAAAGAATCTCTTTCAATTCAATCATCAAAATGAGCAAAAATATATATTTAGGTACACCTTGCACTTTGGTATATATAACAAGTTAACAACATTTGAAAGGGTTTAAAGGTTGGGAGAATTAAAGGAGGGGGAAGGAGAGAGAGGGTTCCATTTTCCCTATCTCTTTATTTGGCATTATCCCTCCACAATAGGAGAATTTTGGAAGAAAATTAGCTCACCTTTCCGAGGGAGCCCCCATCGATCTTCATGATAAACGATTAACGTTTATCTAGAGGGAGACCTCTACATGATGTACACCAGTAACAAATCTACTCATAATTAGTAAAAAAAGTTGGACATTTATTTACAATATTACCACTAGATAATCAATTGTTGTTTATCATGAAAATCAACTTGTATTTTCTCCATCCTTCCTCTCCCTTTCTCTTCTATTCCTTTCCTCCTCTTTCCCTCCCCTTCCTTTCTTAACTCACTATCAATCGAGGTCAATACGTGCTCTATTAATTGACCCAATGAGCTAAGCTTTTATTATATGTCAAACTTCTTTATTTTCCATTTAACCATCTACTAAATTACTCTTGTACGTTGCACGATTTTATGAGCGATAAATAGCATTATTTGAAAATCATAAATAATTAATTTTTCACTAGGGATAGAATTTTCTTAGGTTCTTCCCGAATGTAGAAAAACAAAAGCCTCAACGTATTGGGCCTTTACACCAAGAAAAATTGTGGTTACATGCCCACACACGAAAGATCTACAAGATCCAACAATCTTTGCCCTAAATCAAAGAAATTACTAGGCGCCCTAAATTCAAATCTTTCATACTCCGTAATTTTCTTCATCTCCAAATTAATTTAATTTTTTCCAATCAAATTTCTCCCCCATTTCATTCACATGTTTAATCTCAGAGAAGCAATCCTCAATCGATTGCATCTCAATTCAATTTCACAACAATGCAAATTAGGGTTTACAAACATAAATCACGCAATTTCTCTTTTAAATCAAATGCTATCGTTGGATCCTTTACCTTCTGCAATGGATTTCAATCATCTTTTCATCGCCATCTCTAAAATGAGACCTCAAAAGCATCATTCCGTCGTCATTTCTCTCTCAAAGCAGCTGGAATTATCTGGGTTTCGACCCAATAAGAATTCACTGGGTATTCTTACAAATTGCTACTGTCATTTGGGTCGGGTCGATTTCGGGTTTTCGCTACTCGGTAAGCGTATTAAGCTTGGGTATGAGCCTGATATTGTAATATATACTACCCTGATCAATGGCCTTATTGATGAAAATTGTAATAATGTTGATAAAGCTGTTAAATTATTGGATAAAATTGTGAAATTTGGGATTCAACCTAATGTTGTTACTTATGGTGTTGTTATTAAAGGACTTTGTAGGAAAGGAAATAATGTGGGTGCTATTAATTTTCTCAGGAAAATGCAATCTGAGGGGGTTTGTAAGCCTGATGTTGTCATATATAGTACTATCATTGATGGTCTTTGTAAAGATAATATGATGTCTCAAGCTATTGAATTGTTTGATGAGATGCAAAGAGAAGGGATTTCGCCGAATGTTGTCGCTTATAGTGCTTTAGTTCAAGGGTGTTGTATTGGGGAAAAATGAGAAAATGCCTGAGAATTGTATTTGTTTAGGGCCTTTTGGGGCATTGAAAACATAATTGGGTATGTTTGATTGAGATGTTGGAGCATAGGTTTCAATGGTATTGAAGTGAGGGCAATATTGTTTTTGCTAAGAAGGGGATCACCGATCACGTGTTAGAGACGTGTTGTCATGTTGATGCTTGGGATGTTGGAGCTTTATTTGATTAGCGGGAATTTATGTGTGTGGAAAATTGCCCCAGGAATTGCTGGTAAATTGGTAATATATTCAACTATCAAGGAGGAAGGTTGCGGAGCTGGTAATGGGATTTTCACAGTGTGTGATGGATATTGCAAGAGGGTAAACACATTGTATAGGGCTCTTGTGCAGTTCAGAGAATGCTTTATAAAGGTTTGACATTTATCATTGTTACATTTAGTTTTAGTCTCTAAACCAGGTCCTGTATGCTTACTCGGAATCTTTATATATGATTCCATATTTCTAATTAGATGAGTTATGTGGAAATGCACAACCTTATAGAGAAGTTTTATTTGGAATGTCAGGGGTGAAAGGGTGATGGAGAATGCTCAAGCAGTTCACCTGTATTGTTGTTCACAATATCCTAGTTATGGATTTTGACTGATTGTTTATTGAAAGAAGCTGCAGCTGTCAGACGTTCCCTTGATCTCCTACTGAAAGGTTTGCTACTAAATTTTGAACTTGCTGTATGTTTGTAATGAATGAAAGGATTAGAGAAAATGTTGCTTGCCCTTGTTTGCTGCAGTGATGTCGTCTTAAATACTATTATGAGGTATGACATATGAGATGCTCTTTTTTTTCTTTTTTTTTTTTTTTTTTTTGTGTGTGTGTATGTGTGTGTGTGTGTGGACAAAACAATGATTATGAAATATGATTGAATGGTGTTAACTGTTAAGGATTCTGGATATGTTTTAGTCACTGTATTGATCCTTAATTTAAGTTCTGCGATCTTTGAAGTTAGTCACTTAATAGAATTGCTGAAGAATGTCAATGCTTAATGCCTTAATTTGAAGTTAGGGTGTTAGATAGTTTGCCAGTCCTAGGTATTAAATTTTGGGATCAAGGTGTTATTGTTTTTTCTACTGTGTTTTGCACTTGTTATACAGTTGCAAACCATCTAAACTTCACCATCTGTTAATGTTGTTCCGTTGTTTTCGCTTGAGGTTATTTTAACAAGTACCAAACAGTCTTATAGAAGATTGTCCACATGGTTAGATTGCAACCAATCTCTATCACAACATCCCATTTTAGCTGAAATTCAGATTGCTTCAAGCCTTCTAACATGTTTATAATTGATAGCTTTGAAAAGATGGAACAGGAATCAACTCTTTAAAATTTCTGCACCAATTTCAAAGTCCCTCTCCAATAGTTATTTTTGCGAGAAACCACGTTCTGCCTTTTGCTGAGTTAGTATAAATATTAATGTTGAAAAAGGCCACTTGTTGCTCTGCTTTATAACCTTTATTGTATTGTCTGCGTGGGGCCTCCTTGTGACTTCATAATTTACCATGTCTATTGAAGTTCAAGGGTGATGGAAATAATTACCAACAAGATCCTGGTCCTAGCTGCTTCCCCTTGTTGACCAGTTAAAATGATACATATTTTTTGAACTTCTCTTCAAGTTGAGTAGGTGCATTCACTTGACTAGCCCTAGCAATTTTTAAAGAGAAGGCATTTCTGCAACTTAGTTTTGCTGTTTTGCATAACAATGAGATTTGAGAGGTGACTTGCTGCAGCTTGATCAGCTCTTCTGATTACTATACTGACTGAATTTCTACTAGTTACAAGATATCTTGTGCACGATGAGTTTTCTTATGTCTTTATTGGAGATGTTGCCAATAGGAATTTTAAGGTGAAACTAGCTGTTCCAGATTAGCTGGGAAGCGGAGAAAGGCTTGTTAGCTATAGGCTTGAGCTCAGTGACTTGTAGCAAACGTAAGCTTTGGTTTTACCATGTAAGTATCCAAAAACTCATTTCCCTTTGCATCAACCTCACATAGCAGTTGTTAAGCCATCATATGAGTAAATAGTGAAATTAATAGGGTGCAGTTGAGTGAACTCTGGAGAATCATCTGTCAGTCATACATCTTTGCTGTTTGGGCTAGGATATGAGATTCACACTTGGGCTTGGGTATCAGAGTCATTAACTCAATTATGAGTGTCCTTGGTTATATTTGTATTTTAAATGGTGGTTAGTAATCTCTCCTTTTTGTATGAAGTTGAAGCGTGCACATGCATATTCATTTGGAGTGTCAACTGTCAAGTATCAAGCACGAATACTTTTAAGTGATACATTAGGTGTTCCTTTCAAGATGAGGACCTCCTACTTATGTTTTTCCTTATATTTATACCTAAAAAAAGTATCAAGCATGGATAATTGAATTGGCATGAAGATTTCATGCAGTTCAACCGAACATCGCTTAATTGATTGCTATGGGAGCTAACTGCATCATCACCAGATAGCAACCTGAAAGTTTTCTCATCTATCCCACATTTGCATTACCAAATCCTGCCATCATAATCTTTCTTTTAATTGAACAGGGATGTATTGTAGAAATTGACAGACATTCGATATTGCATGTCAAGTAGCTATTCTCAACTACTACTTTCTCTCAATGGTTCGATGTATTTTGTTGAATTTCCCTTCAGCTTAAACATGAGGTTTATTTTGAAGGTTGCAAAATTCATGAACCCTTTCAATCTTTGTTCTGTTGTTCACGATGACCAAGTCATCCAAATCAATTTTATTGTGATTTTCATCTTGTCGAATGTTGAGTCTGAAATTTCCAGAATATATGTTTTGTGGAATAAGTATCTTAATTTTTTATTTGTACGACGTATTTCTGCAAAGTCTGCTGCATGCAATGCAATAACTTTATATTGAGGTGAATATCTTGCTTCTTTTTTAACAGGATATTTAAAGGGAAGCAAGTGATTTGAAATTTTTCTCCTGTCTTGTGGAGTTAAGAAATCCCTTTTCTTGCAAGTGAAGTACAATTGTTGTGCTAAATTAAGGTAAGTGTAGATATAGTCACACGTATGATGTGTATATTTTATATTGTTGATCGGGAAGAAAGAGCAAAGTGTAGTCGAAATCAACAGCTTCTATTTTGAGAAGATGAATCCTATGAAGTTAGAAAGAGAAGATTAGTGATGATGATGTATATCAGTGATGCTTTAAAAAGAATGGGCAATACTAACTGAATGCTCGAGGAAGAGAAGGGAACAAGGTTATGAGGCATGACGAATTTTTGATGTTTGCCTTGTGCATTGTAACTTAAATTTTACTGTTATGTTTTGTAACTAGTTATGGAAGAATAAAATGTTCATTACATAATTTGAATTTTGAAATTAAATTAAGAATTTTTTGTTCTTTTGGGCTTTTGACAAATGAATGAAATCAAATTTGGCACACATGTTATGACCTTTTCATTAAAATAAATTAGAATTGGTAAAATTTGACATAACATGAGAACAAGACACAAATCGGATACAAAGAAGCCAGGTTAGTGTTCTGGGTTTACGACAAGTTTAATTAAACTAGTCAACATGATGTGATACATTTAGTCAAATAGGTTGTGTTATTATTGAGATTCTCTACGGGAAACTAACAACTCGACAACTTAAGGAAATAAGCATTAATTTATGCAAATAATGATATACAAAGTATATTATGGTTGAGGTTAATACTTTTGCATTATTTTTTTTGTAAGGAAAAGTTATCAATACTTTTGTTTACATTTGTACACGAGACAAAGACTTTTGCATATAAAACAACATAAATTGGACATGTAAAAAATGGGTTAGTGTCAAGGATTATTTATAAGTTTAATACTTTAATTGAATGAATCGGGTTAGTGTCAGAACTTCTCTAATTGTTTACCTTTGAACACGAGACAAATACTCCGTACAACCGTACATGTTTGCAAGCTTTTAAAAAACTGTGAGCCACGAGACTACGTAGTACGTGAGGGTAGTAGGTAAAGGTCATAACGAATAGCATGCTCCAAAATTTACCTACCAAAAGAAGAATAATATAATGTGAAAATGAAAAACAAAGAGAATAGTATGCTTCAAAATTGATACGAACAGAGGGAAGTTTGGCAGTGGCAAGATGATGATGAAGATGATGAAAGTCGCTGGTTTTGGTACTCTTCTTCGCCATTCTTCTCCTTTTCATTCCTTTTTTTTACTTTCTCATTTTCGATTTCATTCTTATTTATTTCGTGCCATTGATGTTGATTCTGATGACCCCAAATTGTTTCTCAATTATGTTAGACAACAATCCAAATTAGGGTTTATTACTGTTGAACTTCCTCTTTCCCTCTTTCATCGTATGAAATTGATTCGCCCGCTTCCTGATATTAACGATTTCAATCAGCTTTTTTCATCCATGTGTAAGATTAAACCCAACCCCCCTTTCTCCACTGTCATTTCTCTTTCTAGGCACCTCTTTTTCTTAGGTGTTCGTCCAAATGATTATTCCCTATGGTTCTATGTTCAAAGGTCTCTGTAGGTCCGGTGATAATTCCGGTGCTCTCAAACTCCTCAGAAATATGGAGTCTTATTGACCATTTTATGCCTAATGTTGTCATTTACAACACCATCATTGATAGTCTCTGCAAACACCAGTTATTACCTCAGGCTCTCCATCTTTTCAAGGAGATGAAAGTCAAGGGAATTTCCCCTGATGTTGTCACCTATGCTACCTTAATTCGAGGTTTGTGCACTTTGGGACAACAGAAAGAGGCTCAACAAATGATGACTGAGATGTTAAGGAATAACAGAACTCCTGACATACAGACCTACAACATATTTATTGATATTTATTGTAAAGATGGCAAGGTTGGTCAAGCACGGGACATTTTTGAATACATGACTGAGATTGGTTTGGTTCCCAATATCATCACTTACACTGCTCTGTTAGATGGATATTGTTTACGTGGTGAGTTGGATGAGGCAGAAAAGCTTATGGATTTGATAGTTGAAAATGGCTGCAAACCTAATGTAGTTACTTACAGCAGGTTAATCAATGGCTATTGCAAGTCTAAAAAGATTGAGAGAGCTCTTGGTCTGCTCCAAGTAATGCATTGTAACGGATTAGCCTCTTATGTTATCACGTACACCACTCTTATAGATGCCTTGTGCAAAGACAATCAGCTCAAGCTTGCACACCTGTTTTTCAAGGAAATGGAAGCTCATGGACTAAAGCCAAATGTAATCGCTTGGAATTCATTGCTTGATGGCATGTGTAAGAATGCACAAGTAGATGAGGCAATAGCAACAATGAAGCAAATGGAGATTACTGGAGTGGTCCCTGATATAATTACATACAATATCCTAATGGATGGTTTGTGTAAAGCTAGGCGCCTTAGAGAAGCGATGGACATCTTCTCCTTTCTCACAGCTAAAGGGCTGCATGATGTGCGTGCTTACACCATAATGATAAAAGGGTTTTGTAAAGAAGGGTTGCTAGCAAAAGCCGATGAATTACTGAAGAATATGGAGGACAATATATGCTTTCCAGATGAATGCACTTTCAATACAATTATTAGAGGATTTATAGATGGAAAGGATGTTAAGAGAGCTTTAGAGCTTGTCAGCTTAATGACAAACAAAGAGTTTGCTTCTGATGATCACACTATATCATCATTTGTGAGCTTACTCAATGATCCAAATATTAGTGATGCAGACAAAGAATTGCTGAAAAAGTATTTTGAAAACTGAGCAAGCGATAATTAAGAGCAAAGGTGGAAGGAGGAACGACTAAAGCATATATGTTCAGCTGTGTATAAACAGATATCGTGAGTGAACTTGTGTTTCAGTAAGTCATATGTTAAATATGATTGATGGATTTTAGGCAAAAACCTTAAAACCTGTGTTTTGGAAATTGGAATATACATGTATGAAGTAAATGTGGATTAACCTGTTAATTTTGTATAAGCTGTGTTTGCTTTTGATCTGCTAGGGAGTTGCATTCGTTTTCTTATTGATTGCAATTGTTTTTAATGGAGCCAGAGCTCAAGTTAAGCAATGGTTTGATCCATTCACTTGAGATACGTAAATTGAATTTCCTGAGACGTGTTTAGTTTTCTGTAGAATAACTAACCATTGAAATCACTGTCATTTTATTATGATTTTGCTTCTTCAGGGCACTAGGATGTAGCAGAAATGAACCCACGTTTTGGTCACATATCATAGTTTCAAGCCCAGAATCAAATCATTTTAATCTGCTGCCTTTTGTTTATTTATTCTCTTTTTTTTTTCCCCATTCTGGAGAAAAAGAAAATAATCAGATGGTGTGAAAAAATATCAAGCTTAGAGATTAATTAGAGCTGGTTAAGCTGCGATTTCAGATTGATCCAACTAGCGTGATTTACTTTTCATATGAAACACACCTAGACGTGAAAACAATAAAATTTATCCAATAAGACTGAACACCAGCGAAGTCCATTATACAACATGTCGCCCAACTCATTGGAGCTTTATATAGCTAAGCGTGTAGATTCTTAACACAAGTTTTGAGTTCGAAACAGAAAACACATGAGCCAGGAGAAAAAAGATATTAAGCTACTGAGATACTGAGGTAATGTGCAACAAACCTGAAAAAAAATGGTTTCATTGAAGCTTTCGCTTCTTTTTAGGGGCACTTGCATTTTGCTGAACTGAAATCATGAACATAGTAGCAGCTTTGGTCATATAAAATACGGATATTAGCTTCCTGGTAACATTGCTCCTTTCCTCTTGCAGTGGAGTGGTGACTGGAGTCTCTTCCATTAATATTCTCAACATATCCATATATTCTTGAGTTTGTAATAATGCTTCCAGTTTCTCGTCATCTTCATTTAGTAATAAACTAACCGTAGAACCTGGAAAATAGACATTCACGTGCACCACTAGTTTAACAATGCAAAATTGAACCCAGAAATATTCGGATATAACAAATGTACTCTCAGAAGTCAGAACTATGTTTCTTCAAACAAGCAAATGAAGCCATATTTTTACCATGATTTTGGAAATACCCGCCTTGTGCTATTGTTTGCTCATACCCTTGACAGGCTTGATTTGCTGCTGCAGCATCATGATAATCATTTGTGGGTGGAATACTGCTGATTGAAAGGCTGCTTGCATTTATACTATGCCTGAATCCACTTACACTAAAAGTCCAACTTGGTGGTGGCAGCAGCGGTTGTGGTAGTTCTTGAATAATTGATAGGTTTGTGAGCTCTTGATCAGAGTTCTGGTGGGTAGGGGTTATTAATTTTGGAAGCTCGCTTTGTTTTGCATTCCTTAATTTAGCACCTGAACAAAGAACAATGAAGGAAATGAAAAAAAGCTAAATGCAAAGCACTTCTTTAAAGTTGCATATAAGATGAAGACTACACTTACTTTTTAGGCGGTGTTCTTTAACCCTAATTGCTTCGCTTACTGCTGCCATTACTACCACTCCAGGGGGAAGCCCTTTAACAATTTTAGCTCCTAGTCTATATTTTTCACTTCTCGTTGATTTTGAGTTATCAGTGAAAGCAATATGACTGACACTAGCAGCCCCTCTGCTCATTTTAATCTCGCAATTTCCCTTCAGCAATGATCCTTTGTTCTTCCTTGGAGGAGTGATATTTTTAGTGTATTCCTCCTCTGTTAAATCATTTCTACCTTCGACATCAAAGTTACCATCAAGAACATCAATCTTAATCTTCAGAGAAGATTCAGGGCCAAAATCTACTCTGTTGTCAGACTCATCAAGCAACTCCACTTCAAGCATAACGTCCTGATCTTCTATTTTAGTCATGGTAAAGAGTGTAGCAGGTAAATCACCCTTAAACTGCAATTTCAAGCACCTTGATGCAGATGGCTTAGCCTGTTGAGGCAACATGCTGCGACAACAGTCAACAGTTAACAATTAAACTATCAAAACAGTTGTAGGTGGATGATAAAGAGAATTAAGATTCGTTCATGACCATAAAATCTTGCACCAAGCCTTACTTCAAAAGTTAGGTCTATAAAGGGCTTGTTCATATTTACTAAATTGAGCTGAATTGAACTGAACTGAACTGATTGGAGCTGAACTGAACTGAACTGATTGGAGCTGAACTGAACTGAACTGAACTAAGCTGAAATGAATATTTTAAGAGAGGGAAATTAAGAGCTGAACTGAACTGAACTGATTGGAGCTGAACTAAACTGAACTGAACTGAAAATAAGTAAATATGAACAGGCCCTTACTTTGGATCGCGGCGCGATAAATAATAGTACAAACTACAAAGTACAAATCAAAAGGGGCAAGATCATATGCTTTGATATAATTAGCATAATCTCTCTTCTGGGAAAGAAATTCATCACTGCTTTTAGTCAACCAATGAAGTCAATGATCTTTTATTAGGTGTTTCCAAATATTTATAGTTGAGACATCTCACTTTACAAGATCTATGCAAATCAGACACAACCCATAACTACAAATAAGCATAACAAAAAAAATCACAGACAACCAAGTTATACCTTGAATTAGGAGGCAGGACACAATGTTGTAATAAGGGCAGAAGCGGTCCGAGAACTCGATTCACAGCCTTTTCAACCTGATGACATTTAACAATGAATTACCCAATATGTAAACAATCGTTTCCCGAATAGTCTAATCATTCTAAACAACAGGGTACTATGTAGAAAAACCCTTTTTACGAAAAATTTAATAATTCGAATCAGAAGTATGATTGAGTAAAAGAATAACACACAATGACATTAAAATTCTAATAAACCCATCAAATAAGAAAAAGGAATGCTAAAATTAATTACCTCTTCCCCAATTGTAGGCTTAAGGTGGGCCATTAAATCTTGCATCCATTTCACTTCCCCTAAATTAGTAACACCTTTACAACAACATTCCCTAAAAGTTATAAAACTCTCATTAGAGGATACTAATTGCTAATCAACTCATAAACAATAAAACCCAGATGAAACTACTTACTCAGGAGGCTTGGAATGTTCATTGGGTTGTTGATCACCAATGAATCTTCTAGAATCCATTGAATTTCTTGTACCCAAAATTGGAATTACCAATTAAATAAAAAAGAGAGTTTTTAAGGAGAGAGAAAGAGAGAAATAAGAAGTTGTGAATACCAAGCACTGAAGCACTGCAGCACTGCCTATCTTTTTATAAAGAAAAGATTGAAATTTCATGGAAATGTTGATATTTCAGGTTAAATTTGGAAAGTCAATTGGGTTAAACTGAATTAACCAACTAATTTACTTCTGCAATGTAGTGATTTGCAAATGTGGGGTCATAGGATAAGAGATTAGGTGAGTGAATAGATATAAAAGACAATATATTAACAATAAAAGTAATTAATTAGTGAAGGGAGGAATATACTTTTTTTGTAATATTTCTTCAAAAAAAAAATTGGCGGCTGATTCAGTGACTTCATTGAGCATAATTGCCGTGACTTTGGAAATTTAACGCGGGATATACGCGTTCATATATTATTTGGACTTAAAATTCTGACATTTGGCTTACTGCAACACTGATTGCATCTAAATCAACGTTTTCTTTGGAGTTTACTAGAGAAGATATCCTAATTCAAGAAGTTAATGATGTTTTTAACTGATAGGTTCTATTGTCTAACAGTTTGATGATTCTATAGATTTATTGCGTTAGAATCTTTTGATATACATTTCTACAACAGAGGATTCAATATAAAAACCATACAAAACTCAATAGAGAACAGGAAATTTTTTTATGACCGAGAATTTCATGTACTAAACATTAAGTAATGGCTTGATTGAGGTTTCCTGATTTTCATTACAAGTTGTAATGATCGTTTATTTGTGGAATGTATCATTAAAATTGGTACAAATGAAACACCAGGTAAATACAGCTATATGACTCACAACTCAGTAGGTGAAATCCTTCAATTTTCTTACAAATCAAGCACACATATTGGCTTGTATGAAATTAATGTATCATCTAAACTTTGTCTTGCAACTGCAACGCTTATCAGTTGTCTGTGTGTCCAGTCTTTTGCTTCTTCAGAGGTCTGTAACTATCTATTCTTCTTATCCTTACTATAAAATTTAGTTTAACTCCAATTTTCCTCCAGTATACCCGAAGCCTGCTTGGAGTTTCGGTCCTCAACTCATCTGTATTATTTAAAGCCTGCGAGTCTCCAAGAGAAGCCTCGTCCTCAGCCAAAACCCCTGCAATAAATTCTTCAAATTTGGAAAAAGATGGACTTGTACTTAGTGAAGACTGTGAAGCACAGTTATCCACTTGTTGCATCCCTGCTCAATTACACAACATTGTTCAAATTAAGGTTAACATCTAAAACCCGGGTTTAAAATAAAAATAAAATAAATACGGAGTAAATAAATAAAAGCAAAACAAGAATTCTGAATTTCAGGTTCTTAAAAGATTTTCCGTACCAGAATCAGTAGACACATTAGGAAACAGAAAGGAACCTGAATATAATTCAGGTGGCAAAGACGCCAGTGAGTCTAGGCTATGATCTGATATCTGCACGGGCATATTGACTGCAGGATTTGGAATGTTATCCTGTTAAATAGGTAAAACAAATTGTTTAGTTAACAATACATAATTACTTCGTATATAAGGATGTTAATTATAGTGTGTTTAATATATGCAATTTCATAGGCGCGCATGTACAAAAAAGATAACCACTTCTAGTATGACTGTATCAGGTATCCTGCTTAAAATATACAGCGACTTCATTTTCATGTCCTATAATTTCTTTCACATATAACATGTGTTTATTGTCTTGAAAATAGAAATATTATTCTAACCAGTCAATGATAAAAATGTAGTGCTAGCTTACCCCAGAAACATAAGCCATAAAACATGCTGATTCAGTGGCGACTCCCATGTTTTGCAATAAATCATCTGAAACTTGAAGAGTTTGCATCAGTTAGCATCATTCATTATAAGACTAATGTTCAAACCAACATCAGGAAAGCAAATCATTCAAGCATAGTCAATTTAAAGGGAATACTTATCACAAGTCTAAGTGGGGAGCCCAAAGTTACTAAATTTCGAACAAGTAATATTGTACTATGATTATATAATTAGTGCAAGCGACTATACAGATTATAAACAAATGACATTTCCTCCAGTTGTTTTTCTTAAATAAAAGATACGGAGGTGCTTGTTCTAAGCAAAATCTAGCAAAGGAGGCAAATATAGCAAGCAATTATATGATATTTGTTTTTTTTTTTTTTTTGTTCTGTAATAATATCAGTTTTATCCTGAAAATGCCCTAAGATACTCGTTATCTGATTGACTGTCATTGTCTATACCTTGATATGTTGCTGCAGTACCAGGATATTGCATAGGTAAATTACTGGAGTAAGTGTATGGTGAGGGTGCTGCTGCTGGTTGTTGCTCTTGCTCTTCTTGAAGCTCCTGTTGTTCAGCACTAGATGGATATGCGAGTCCTTCTTGAGTTGGTACAATTAGTTCAAGCTTATGTCGTTTTTCATATGCAGATTGCCTTAATTTACCAGCTTTTTCCTGCAAAAAGAACAGAGAAATCCAATTAGTAAATCTAAACCACAAGTTTATATATCTTGGACAGTCATGCATGAGCAGAATCTTCCTCCTTTTTTCTCCTCCCCAGTTAAAAAAGAGGTGGACAGGATCAGAGACAGAGAACACCAGGTACCTTTTGGGTAAAATCAAGAGATTTATAAAGCTGGGTTGTTCCACCCTTGAATGTAACCCTTTTAATGTTGAAGGCACAATCTAATATAAGATCATCCCCTGATGCATCATCATAGTACCGATACTGCTCTTTGGTTAATGTGCATGCCTCGGCATTTTTTACAATTTCATCCCACTTTGTTTCAGGAACTCTTAGAATCTGATTTTGACAAGAACAGAACATTTAGAGTGATCAGCATGAGACCTGTTAGCAGAAGTGATGCTTAGAAATTAGCATGTTTAACAACGAAAATAGTCCTTACAGCTTTCATTTTTTTTTCATCAGTGTGATAAAGTTGTAGGAAGTCCTTCACTGTATGAATTTCTTTTTCCTTTGCCCTACAACAAACTGGCCCAGTTTTGTTTATGTTTTTCAATCGCCATAAATCGTCTTCAGGAGATGGATTTGAACGCTTTCGTTCACCTGGATGAATAGGAAAATGTCCAATCAACACTAGATGAACATCCAAAAAGAAAGAATATATTAAGTTGCTAAGCCCGGGTATGTATTTGCTACGCATAATCTTTTCTTAGTCTCTGAAACAGCAAACAAAATATAAAAACAAGGATAAAGGAAATATGCTAAGTTCGAAACTGTGTAATAAGAGGTGTACTTAGTTACTTACTTTTTAGGCGGCTTACTTTCACCCGAAATTCTTTTTCACTTACTGCTGATCTTACAACCCTTCCAGAAGGAAGACCACCTATAACTTGAGCCCCAAACCTAAACGTTCCATTTGTCATTGAACTCGAGATATCCGTGAAAGAAAAGCCACAAACATCAGCAACTCCTCCATTCAATGAAAACTTGGTGTTTCCCTTCAAAAGTGACCCTTTACCTTTTCTTGGCCGGGCAATCTTCTCTTTGAATTTCTCCTCGGTCCAATTTTGTTCCTCCTCAACATTAAAATCACCATCAAGAACATCAATCTTAATCTTCACACAAGAATCAACACCAACTTCTACTCGTTTACCAAACTCATCAAGCAACTCCACTTTAAGTGAAGTACCCTCCTTTTCTATGTTGGTGTTGGTTAACAGTTCATTAGGTATTATGCCCTTAAAGGACAATCGAAAGCTTCCTGGTGCAGATGACTCGCTGTGATCTGGCAATGAGCTGCAGCAAGGGTCAAAATAAAACAGTTAATTCTGGTATAATGTAATTTTGGGTGTCAACTGTCAAGTACATGAGAATTGTACACTATTAGAACACGTACACTCTTCAAGTAGTGAAAGTGTAGCACCAATGAAGAAAATAAAAGCAATTTTGATCTCAGAAACTCTCTACTTATTTGATAATTGTACAATGAATGATCATGTAGACATTTAGTAACGCTTTGTTTGGATAGCAAAGAAGGAGGGGAAATGGAGGAAGGGAAGGGAAAAGAAAGGGAGGGGGAGGTGAGCTCCATTATCCCTCCAAATCTCTCCAATTTTGGAGAGATTATGGTTATTATAGAGAAAGGGAAAATGGATCCCTCCCTCTCCTTCCCCTAATCTTTTACCCAAACAAGAGATTTTGTGCCCCTCCATTTCTCTTCTCTTCTATTCCTTCCATTTCTTCCTATCCAAACAAAGTGTAAATGATATTTTTTAACAAATATATTCATCAGTGTTATGACCAATTTAATAAATTATTGGAAATTAGAATTTCCAATTTCAATCCATGATGAATCTAGATAAAATTTAACTAAAATTTGATACCCAAATATGAATAAATATTTAGCTTGATCATTACACACAAAACCTTTCTTTTGCATTATTAATTGAACAAGCTAAGATCACTTATGTATACCCTAGATAATTTATGTGCATTTTAAAGGCCATCAGGTTTAGATGCTGTGTTTGATACTTGGCATTTACGAGGAAACTAAGTAAAAATGTTGGGAAAACATAGATTCCACAATTTTACCATATTTTGGGAGACATGAAAACAATTACTCCTATACATCGATTCCACAATTTTACCATGGTTTGGGAGAAAAAACAATGGAAAAGTAAAACATTGAAAATGCAGAATCCTTATACTTATAATTGAGCATTAATGGAGAAAATCCAAGTTTATCTCCTTAATATTCATCAAATGACAAAGTTGTAAATAAATGCGTAAGTTTTGCAATAGCGATTCTTCCTATGATATTACTAGTTTGCTCAAAATGAAATAAGTTTAGACTGGGCTCCGTAGCATTAGTCTTCTTTCAAATCAATTGAAATATTTGTGGAAATCTAAGACATAGATTACTCATCAACCAAACAATGAACTATCCCCTTAATATAAGAACATTGATGTTTGCATTGATATCAAGAAAAGGAAGCTAAATCATAAGCAAACAATAGATTAGCAGGTAATCTCATTAAACAATCAAACAAATTAAAGTTAAATTCAAAGTACTCCGTATAAAAGTACAACATCAACATGTCATATAACAAAAGTGGATTACAAAATACGGAGTAATATTCTTCTTTCCCTCAAAAAATTAATTCAAAGTCCAATTACAATACAGAAATTAAGTAACCAACCAAACTATACCTTGTAGTTGGAGACAGGGCAGAATTTTGCAATAGAGACCGTAGTTGATTCAGTTGATTATGGACCTATTGACCACCCCCCCCCCCCCCCCCCAAAAAAAAAAAAAAAAAAAAAAAAAAGGAAAAATCAATTTAGTCATAAGTATATTCAGATCTCTATATAGAGAGATTTTGTCGAATCAGAAGCAATTACTTTAAAAAACAAAAAAAAAAAAAAAAAAAAAAAGAAATTGTACCAGTAAAATCTACATATTCCCTTTTCTATTAAAAAAAAAAAAAAAAAAAAAAAAAAACTACATATTCCCTGACGAAAAAAAATATACTCGTAATAAATAATAAAATTGCATTAATCCAAAAAAATACAAAAAAACACCTGTGTAATTACAGAATTGACTTTCTCTAATGAAGATCGAATCATACTCGTAGTTACACAAGCACCACTACAACAGCAGCTGCACAGAAAACCATAGAAATCAAATTTGTGACACTTGAAATGGAGATTCAGAATTATATATACGTAATTATGATTATGATTATAATTAAAATAATAATAACGTAAAAATTGATAATTTAGACCTTTAATTTTTTTTTTTTAAAAAAATACTCACTTAAAATGCTGATGAGGGTGTTCTTCACCAGAAAAAATTCCAGATGCCATACCAAGTAAAAATTACCCAAATAAAAGAAAATGAAACTTGTTCCAAAAAATAATTGAGATTACAAAAAATTAAAGACTGGGTTAAGAAGTGAAAAGGGAGGAGAGAGAAATTTGGCAAAAATAAGAGCCGCCTCTGTTTTATTTATACTAAAACAATAGAGTGGAAATGTGAGAAGATTTTGAAAATTCACTGAAATGTAATTATAGTAAATCAACAAAGTGAGATAAAATTAATTAATCTAACCAGTTTCCCGGACATTGTAAATTATTTTAACGGAGTAATGAAACTGTGATTTTGGCTATGGCTGAGCATCATTGACAAAAGTCCCAGTCAGAAGAAAGGACGGTCTCTTTTTTTTCGCAAGTACTACAAAATAACTTAAATGCAGAAATAATTTAATGATATCAAATCCTAAAAAGACTAAAATACCCTTTTTCCAAAAATAAAAAACTTTCATTTTCATTTACCATTTCTACCTCTTTAATCCCTAATCCCTCAACAAATGAATCAATTTTAGCCATAGAGACAAAGAATTCATTCGCTGTGGAGGAGGAGCATGAGGCTGTGGAGGAGGAGGAGGAGCCATTGTCAAAACAACAATTTGGCTCAAGAATGAGTAGTTATCGAGGTAACTTTGAGGTGCATGGGCAATTTGGGGGAGATAAACAGGTTTGTCTTGAAGACTATAGTGAGTTGCAAGATTCAATAGATGGTGGCCCAACAAATCCCAAATTGCTAAAGAGCTTTCGTGGTCACGTTGCATATTATATTTGGCATGGTCGGGTAAGTCTAAGTAGTTAGTTTATTTTTTAATTTGTAGTATTTGTTTAATCTGTTTTACAATCTACATTTCAACAATTTAATTGGTAATAGATAAATACATATTTTATATTGAATTCTTACACTTTATTTGTGACTTGAATAGGAATGAAATGTATTGAAGGGTCACAAACAAAGTGAGCGTTTACAAAAGTAGAAACCTCGTAATAAGGAGGTGAAGTCATTAATTATACCTAGTGAGCTTTTTCATCTGGCTGATTGTATGTATTCTAATTTGAATATGCCGTTAATATCTGCTTTTGTGGAGAGGTGGCATCCAGAAACAAATTCATTTCACCTACCTTTCGGAGAGCTAACAATAACGCTACATGATGTTGCATACATTTTAAGTATTCCTATCACCGGACAAGCAGTTTTTGGTAAACCCGTAGTTTCCCAATTAAAAGAGCATCTAAAAACCACTCTTAATATATCAACATCTGAGGTGGATAATGAATATCGTAGGGGGAGCGTGCGGTTAAACTTTATACAAGGTTGTTGTTCATCAAATAATTTGCATTCGTCATCAGAAGCTATTGGATACTTGTTGTGGTTGTTAGGGTGTACTATTTTTGTAGACAGGTCATCTACTAGTGTTAGTCCTTATCTTCTACCATACTTGGTTGATTTGGAAAAGGTTAAAGATTATGCTTGGGGTGCTGCTTGTTTGACATATATGTATCGTCAATTAGGGGTAGCTTCCAGATTTGACAATGCTCAAATTGCTGGATGTTTAACACTCCTTCAGGTATTATTAAATAAAAAATTTCCTTACATTTTAATATCAAAATTTGTAATGTTAATAAAACTATTACTTTTTTTTAGGCTTGGATATATGCTTAATTTCCGACATTTCGGCCCCAAAAGAACAAGGAATGGGATTTAAGATTACCGCATGCACAACAATGGATCCCTCCACATGTTCATAATGTCGGTATTGATTCTTTGGTGTCTTATAGACGCATACTAGATGATATGAAAGTTGATGAGGTTAGCAATTATATATATTTGTACTATTGAAAATATTTACTATATCCTTCACCATTTTTTTCTCATATTGTTATTTTTAAAATTTAGGTAGTGTGGACTCCATTTGATAGAAATCCTCATCAGACGTTTCCGATTGCATTGTATTCTGGTGTAATTCATTATAGGGATATTACAGAGCCATATATGTCTGATCGTGTATTGAGACAATTTGGATATGTGCAAATTATACCCCTACGTTTATTGCATCCCAAAACTAGTTATAGAGGACCAGAGAACAACAAATATAAATGCAAACACGATGAGAACCTTCGCGCATGGGATTCTTGGATGAATCATTGTTTTAGAGTAGGTGAAGCAGGTTCTTATAGAGCAAATTTTTCTACTGAAATGGTAGAAGGATATCTTGACTATTACCAAGCTCGCACTCATATTCGAATTCATAGAGATGTCGCATTAACATCAATGCCAATAGAATCATGTGATATGTCTGAAGTTGCAGTAAGTTTTATTTTATTTAATTTCATTATATTTATTATGACTAAATTGTCGTATGATAACATTTATTTAAAATTGCAGCGTCTGCAATACTTAGGTGCAAGAGCTTACCCACTCCACCCAGACATTCGACACCGAACTGATGATGTGACATTTTGGCAATGCCTTGATGATTTAACCCGTCATTTAGAAGATTGGATGTCAAGACTACAAGATGATCGTCGAAGAAGAGGTGGAGGTGGTAATTCAAGGAGGGGTAGTCGTAGGGGATAACATTTGTTTTATAGGCATATTTTTTTTTTCTATATGCAAAGTAACACTTGCTATAATCATATTGTTTCACATATGTATTTTAAATTAGATGCAAAGTTTAATATCTAAAATTGACACTTGTTATAATCATTTTGATTGATTTATAAACACTTAGTCTAAATATGAAGCAAATAAAAGGAAGTGAGATAAAATAAAAAATTATAACAAGAACAAAAGTAAGATCCTCTATAAATTCAATAACAATAACCAAATTTCCTCCATAAATTTGTAAAACAAAAACCATAAAATTGTCTATTTATCACCATTTAATTGACGATATAAATCAAGTTGATCCTTGAATATAGTTGAAGCCCATCATTGCACATCAGAGCTGCCATTATGAAAAAATAGGTGGTAAAGGAATATTTGGTGGCATGTGGAGAGAAATATAATGATTACTCCATACGTAAGCTAAATTGATGTATATAGATGGCGGTTGATCAACCAATTGAGTCTCCAATGGTAAGAATGTAACAGATTGATTTTTTGACCAACTAGTCACAATTCTTTGATATCTAGTAGCGACTACCATGCTCAAACCTAGTGTATCATACCAATTCTGAAACGGAGCTGGACACTTGTCACAATTTACCACATTAAGCATTCTATTATACTCTTGAATACTTCCCAATACTTCTCTATCTCTATATAACTCCACATGCTTGGTTAACTCATCTTTTAAATCACGCCGCATATCAAGCCATTTATTTTCGTCACCATACTCAAAAGTGGCAATTACTCGAAAACCACAGTGTCCATCACCACGCACATTTATATGTCCTTCAACATAAGGTAATATGAATTCGGGTAATTGACAAGGCCATGGAAATGAATATCTAGTTGACTTTGTTGTTTTCTTTTGCCCTTCATATAACATATTAAATTAGAATTTTTGATTTGTTAACAACACGAACTATTATTAATAAAAGTAAAATAACAGTCAATACCTTTTGATTTATTTTGGGAGGTTGGTACATCTCCGGTACAACTTTCTTTTGCACTCTTTTCCTTATTTGGTTCTATATATGTTATAAATTATAATTATTTTTGAGATAACTAAATAATGCACTACATAGTTAATCAAATATAGACCATTAAAAAATGTACCTTTTGATTTATTTTGGGAAGTTGGTACATATTCAGTATGACTTTCTTTTGCACTCTTTTTCTTCTTCGGCTCTATATATATTTTAAATTATAATTATATATATAAGATAACTAATAATGCACTACATAATTAATCAAATTTATACAATTAAAAAAAATGTACCTTTTGATTTTTTGTCAACATCTTGTTTAGAATCTTTATTCGAATTCTGTTTTTTCTTCGATCCTGCATATAAGTAGATACATTAGAATTAAAGAAAAATATGTTTGACACCGTGACAATAAAGTTGTTAAGTTCACCTTTAGTAGCATTCTTCTCGGAATGCTCCCAACCAGATTTATCCCTCTTTGTTGGATTATGTTTTGGACGACCTTTGTGGGGACGATGTATTGGCTGCTTCAAATTGGTAGATTCAGGAAACAGTATATTATACATAACATTTGCAAAAAAAGTATCGTTGATCAGGAGGGTATTGTTTCATTATTGCTATTAATTCGTCTATTCGTTGTGAAGATGTTTGTCGTAAACCCTCTTTCTCCTGAAAATTCCGTCCCTCCATGTCCAAAGTCTTCCAGAATATATAACAAATCAATTGGAGTATACGCATTCATTAATTCACACATTTCATGAGCACACGGTAAACCATAGCTGTTCCTCATTTCACATCCACAAGCCTCAGCATTTGTACTTATTTTCTTGCATCTATCGTTGTATTCGTTTTTTAATAACGAGATAGCATGATGAGATACCTTACACTTAAGACGACTAAATAACTGATATCTAGTGATGTGCAGACTTTTTGTACGAGATTTTTCCATTTCAGCTTTGATTTCATTAAGTTGCATCTCTACTAAATCATGAATTCTTGGAAATATCACATGAAAAGCTCCGATAGCCGTTCCTAACCAATTCTTCAATTGAGAGTGTGCGCTCCCCACCCTACAAAAATATATTATGACAATTATATCGTAAAATATAAATCTGCAGTATTATAATAATCATAAACTATAATTGTATCATAAAATTTACCTATTTGTCGTACGAGCCCCAAAATGAAGAATTTTTTTGGTCCAAGCGGATACGAATCTCTTTTTATAAGGATCTAGCCATATTTTGTGAACATAATCAACTACTGTCGATAAATTAGGACTCCATGCACATACCATTTCAGCAACAGCCACATTGTATTCTTCCTCTGTTAAAGAATCGACTATTTTTTCCCACCTAATTGAAAAGGCTTTTGCATATATTTTATTACCCGTTACATCTGTTACATATCTCTCCACGTCTTTAGCGATATGCCTCTTGCAGAGTAAATGTGCAGAAGATGGAAATACATGTTCGACAGCATTCATAAGTGCCCACTCTCTATCTGTGACAACTACTCCGGGGTTATTCTCAGAGCCAAATAATTCTTTCACCCTTTGCATCGCCCATAAGAAACTTGTAGTTTTTTCATTTCTCATGAAACCAAATGCAACATGAAATTTTTGTCCCGTTGAAGATACTCCAATCACCTCTAACAAGGGCACATCATACATGTTTGTTCGATACGTAACATCTATTAGAATAACATGAGGGAACAATCGAAGCAGATCAACTGCTTTGGGATGTGCAAATAAGACATCCCCAACAGTGTTAGTCCCATCCTCTTTTCTATGCCATTGATAATACCCATAGTCTTTCAATAACTTAAAAAAATATTGCATAGGAGATAAATCACCCATTTGTTTTCTTTTTATTTTTTGCAATGCATTATCGATGTGTCTCCTTCCACTTACATTTTTGGGGTTTTCTAATTGTATTTGTTTTAACATTTGTTTTGGCTTTATGTTGCTTCGTTTAAATTGAGCAACCTTCTCAAATTCTTTTGTACTCAATTTTGCAGCCGATGTATGCCATTGCTTATATTTACCTAATGTGTGGTTATGTTTACTTTTATTCACATCAACTAATAATTTCCATTTACCCCCAACTTGCTCAAGAAGTTCAAAGGGACAACAATTCCTTTTTGTACTAGTGTTGTATCTAGGTTTGAATTTTTTGTCGGGTGAAGGAACATTATACCTATAGGGTCCACTTCTTTCACATCCAATATAAACTCGTCCAAATCCCAATCCATTCCCTCTACGAGAAGTTTTGATAACAAAATACATATCATTATTTTTGCCGACTTCTTTCACCCATTCTAAAAGTTCTTGGCGATTATTAAATAATGTGTCCGTCATAAAAAGATAGCCAACATCAGGATAATTCTCAATGTTCTCATCAGGTTTAAAATGATAATCTTGTCCATAGTTTTGACAAAAAATCATCTCAATTAAACATCACTTAGAAGAATATTATTCTTATCTATTAAAATAATGATTAAGAATAAAAACAATTTTTAAACAAGTGCAAAAGTTAATAATAATAACAATAATAATAATAAAATTAATAATAATAATAATTAAGCCCTAAAAATTAAAACCTCGAAAATCATATCCGGGGGTCGACAATAACCCCCGGAAAGCAAACTCTGGGAGAATAGTTGACCCCCGGAAATCATATCTGGGGGACATTGTCGACCCCCGGAAATCTTTTTTTGGTGGTTACGTCGATCCCCGGAAATTATATTCGGGGGTTATAATCTATCCCCAGAAATCAATTTCGGGGGTTAATGTCGACCCCCGGAAATCATATCCAAAGGTTATTGTCGACCCTTGGCTATGATTTCCGGGGGTTGTTGTCGACCCCCGGCTATGATTTCTGGGGGTAATTGTCGACCCCTGGATATGATTTTCGGGGTCATTGTTGATCCCTAAACTCATGTCGTTCATGTTCTGTGCAAGATGAAAATTTTAACTTGTTTGATTGTTCATCGATAAATTAGATTTTGCGGAAAAAAAGTTACAGCATATAATATTCATACCTCAAAAAAATCGTCATAGTGCACTTCGTTATTGTCCATGAGTTTGTATATTATTGAATATTAAATAGGATGAAAAGTTGAATATGTTTGTAAATTAAACAGTACGGATGATTATATAGGTGGGAGTGTAAAAGATCAAATTATAATAAGGGCAAAATTGGAATAAAAACTTTTTTAAAAAATTAATTTATTCTACATTTAGGAAAAACTAGTCCTGCATTTATTACCCCCCCCCCTTTTTTTGGGTTGGAAGATAAAGAAAGGAAAACTTTTGACTGTGAAACGGTAGACGACTAGACGGTAGTCATTAGTCAAGGGCCTCGACTTAGAGATGGATAACGTGTCGTGCCAGACCACAACGAGCCATGCCAGGCCATGTCAAGCCACCATTTGGCACACCCCAGCCCATGTCACGGCATCGCATACATGCCCATGTTGAGCAGTGGGCCGCCTTAATTTTTTTTTCAAAACTCGATATATATTTTTTTTGAACAACTTTTAAAATTAGAATATTTAAATGGTTTTATTAATTTATGTTTATGTTTTTGTATTATTGTATTATTACTCGTATTATTATTGTTTTTATTATTCTTATTTTATTGTATGGCGGTTGGAAGCAGCGAAATATAGTCGTTTGCACGCGTCGTGCTGGCGGGCCAAATTATCGAGCCGCCCACCGTGTTCGTGTCGATTTTTCAAAATTGTGTTCACGGCACGGCCCACTCCTCGGTCATCATGCCGTTTTGTGCCACTAGCAGGCTCGTGTCAGGCTGTGCCACTACCGTGTCATGCTCGTGCTGCCCGCGGGATAGCACAACCCATGCCCACCTTTAGCCTCATGGCCCAAGAAGACTCAATTCAACTTTAGAAATAAAGGTGAATTATTTTTTACCACAAATTCTTATATCGTGTGGCCAGCGATTATAAAAGTTGCTATGTTAGTGTAATAGCGGTTACTTTGTTATTGTTGTAAGATTTCTCGGTCAGCAATAAAGGGGTTACTTCGATCAGTATTATAGAGGTTATTTAGTCAGTGTATTAGGTTTACTTTGTTCTTTTATAAGTGACCAAACGGTGTGACTGACCACACACAAAATGACCTTTTTTTTTTTACAGTGACGTGAAGAACAATATAACCTTTATTTACTCTTTAAGATAATATATTTAACAGTATATAAACTAGAAATTAAAGTTTTAACCTGATTTGATTAAGTATCAAATGCTTCATGAGTCAAAGAGAATAAATCCTTCCAAAACACTCCTAATCGTAAATTCGTAATGATTATTCTAGAATTTTAACTACCAATACTCTTTAAGGGTCTGTTTTATTCTGTTGAAATTCAATTCAGTTCAGCTCAATTCAGTTCAGTTCAGTTCAGCTTCTAATTTCCTTCTCTTATAAAATATTCATTTCAGTTCAGTTCAGCTCAATTCAGTTCAGTTCAGTTCAGTTCAGTCAATGAGAACAAGCCCTAAGACGGAGTAGCAGACTAAACTTCACAAATCACAAGTTCACTTCATAACACGTTCAATTATGGTCACGTAAACTGATAATTTCACACGCTAAATTATGGCCACTTAATTTTGTTGGTTTGGTTTGTTGTACTCCGTAGTTTGTTTCCTTTGGATTTTGTAATTGTCAAGCTTTTATGTCAAAAAAAAAAAAAAAAAAAAAAAACTGATAAAACGCGTCGGCTTTATCCCAAAAAATAAAACTTGGCTTTTCTCACTGACCCACACTACACTGATGATTGCCCCAAAAATTGTATACTAAAAAATCTAGAAAAAAAAAAAAACGTCCTTCCAAATTTTCAGTCTACGAGTACTCCGTACAAGATTTTGTGGCATGAATTGGTAGTTAAAGCTAATGGAGACACTGTGTATAACAAAATTAAATACAAGTATTTTTTTTTTTTTGTATATATATATAGAACCAAATACAAGTATCAAGTATGGAATACAATAAATTAGTAATTGAGTACTCATAGAACAACAGAAGTGACAAACTAGTAATAAACACAAACATTTTAAAAAAATTGGATGTAGAATAAAATATTATTCATCCACCATAAAGTAATCTTAAAATGATAGGGTAATTTTTTTGAAATTGCTACCCACCTATTGTAGGTGGTGATAGGGTAATTACTTTTGTTGCAATTAATCTGTATTGACTTATGAAGATGTTGAATTTTGTATAAAAAATTTCTCTCTTTTTTTTTTTTTTAATCGGAGATATGGAGTATTTCCACCGTGTTTTTTTTTAAGTGTTACATTTTTCATTTTCAGTTGTGTTTTTTTAAGTGTTACACTTTCTTTTTTGGCAAAAAGCTACATTAAAATATTATATCTCTCTTCTCTCATGGTCCTCATCCAAAGTCTCAAACCTACTATGTAAGTATATAGTAATACTTTTTTATTATTCTTTCTTCTCACATTCATTACTTTTCAATAAATTATTAATTCCACTATCTTTCTTTTACAATTTTTTAATACTCCAACTACCCCACATACCTCTTATTACGTATTTTATTTAAGTCAATTAAATTGTCTAAAAATATATGCCGGTCAAACTGTAACAATTAAAAAAACAAGGAGTGAATATAACTAAATTATATACAAGTTTTTTTTAATTATTATTATTTTTTTTAGTACTCAATTTCAATTATATACAATAAAATAGAAATTGAGTACTCATAAAACAACTAATAATAAACACAAACATTTAAAAAAAATCGGATGTACAATAAAATATTGTACATTCACTATAAAACTACCTTAAAATGATCAAAAGTTACACTTTTAATGATCAATATCGGATTTATCTTATTTTTTTTTTAAAAAAAAAAATTATTATTCTAACCTAAATGTTCTATTTTGCTCTTAATGCAAGTTAGATATTACTTGTATAGTATATAGAATAAGATAATAGTAGCAAAAAGAGAGTGAGGGATAGCTCAAGTGGTTAGTACTTCCTTCCCGATTCCAGAAAAACCTGAGATCGATTCTCATCTCTACCCTTGTGATGGCTCTCTAAACACTAAAAAAAAAAGGCAAAAATCGAGATTGCTTACATGATTCTTAAGTCGAGCTATGCTGTGTTCGGTCATTGAAATTTTGTATTAAGCTCATATAGTTGACAAGCTAGATATGCTCATTAACACTATGACCTATTCATGATCAAATTACCCTTTTATTATTATTATTATTATTATGGAGGCTTAGGCCCTGTTCTCTTCACCCTAAAAAAATAATATTAAGTAAAAATAATTTCAGTTCAGTAAAAATAAGTTCAGTTCAGTAAAATTAATTTCAGTTCAGTAAAAATAATTTCAGTTCAGTAAAAATAAGTTCAGTTCAGTAAAATTTAGTTTTCTTAAAGAAGAATTATAATATAAAAACAGTAAAAATAATTTCCGTTCAGTAAAAATAATTAAAGCTCAGTAAAAATAATTTCAGTTCAGTAAAATTAAGTTCAGTTCTTTAAAAATAAGTTCAGTTCAGTAAAAATAATTTCAGTTCAACAAAATTAAGGTGAATCAAACAAGGCCTTATAAAAGACAGTGAAGTAGTGAGCAACTAGATTCTGAAACATACAGCATATTTTTATTATGTGCCATAATGTATAGCCATTACTCATTAGCCAGTCTTCTGCCTTTATACACAACCATACAAAAATGCAAGTATGAACATTAGCTAAGAAAAGGTAAAACTCAATTTGAAGCCCCTCACTTCCCTGCCTCTTGCCTTTCCAAATACTTGATACCAGGCTAAGTATCAAACTGACCCTAACACACTGAAACAATAATCGCGATTTAATAGGACCTTCGTCATACTTAACCAATATCCTCCAAACCAGCTTCAGGGTTCGCGATATCTGCAGCATCAGCAGACACACCAGGGATAGAAGAGAGCATCCCTATGCCTTCTTCCCTCAGCAATTGGTCAGAATGCCAACTTGAGGCCTGGCCGTCGAGCATAGTGGAAGGTGGTGGTGGCATATTGTAACATAAAGGTGGAAGGCAGACATCTTTCGGTGAACCAATACATAAATTTTCGAGCAAGGAATTGTCCAAACCCATGGAGTTGTCACCTAACTGATGGCTATACTCCCCTGCATTGGACTCTGGCATCTGAATCATCTGTTGATCTGTTTTAATCAACGAAAGCAGAAATCGAGTGATTAATAGTAACAGGATTATGTGACACACTTCAATTGGCAATGTAATAAAGATTTGTAATTACGCTTCTTTACTTCTTACCATTGACACAAAATTGCTGCAGACTCGAGCATGGAACGGTGTTTGGATTAATGGTACTACCAATAGCAATAGGGATGTTAATTTGAGCCGAGTTATTCAGATTTGTGCAAGCATCATATCCTGTAAAGCAGGAATTAGCACGTTGAATGATTTCGTTCCACTTCTTTGGCGATACCTTGACAATCTACAATATACGCATATCAAATAAGGTTATGAAGTCCAAATTCTAGTGTCTAAAATTGCAACAAGCAGTCTAAGGATATACTCACACCGCGTAGGAAGGATTCATCAGTGTGATACAGTGAGATAAAATCCTTCACTGTATAAATCTGATTTTCTTCCAACATTTTGGAGATCTTCCCGTCTTTAGCAATCCAGCACAGACGCCAAACTTCATCATCTAAAGATGGAATGTCATGCTTCTTATAGGCTGCAACAAAGCATATAAATGTACAAATCAGATCAATAAAGCTGAATACTAATCCTATAACATGTGTTTCGGTTGAAAACAATGGGACCTTGCCGAAGGTCCACTGAAATGGAGAAGACTGGATTCGATCCAAGCTGTGTTGGGCCGAAGGTTTCCTGCACAGTGAACACACGTAAACTAGCCTCGGGGGTGTTTCCGAGGAAGGCCCCTCCGATGCTAAAGTCAGTACAATGTGTAAAAAGGAAGACACTATGCAAGAGAGTTTGTAGCTTGAGGCTTTTGTGGAGTATTTCTCAATGCAAGAATGAGCATATGAATTGGAATAATCAGTGTATGAGATAATGTATGTGATCATGTATCTGATCTCTCCCTGAATGTGTTAATATGAGGGCTTTTATACCTCATCATACTTGGAGAGGTTGGGCTTTAGCCCAATTGGCTTACTTTGTGGGCTGACTTTTGACTTTTGAGCAATTGGAGAGTTGAACCTTGACCTTGGGCTTTTAATTGGATCATTTAGTGCCCAGGCCCAATTTTGACTAAATTGGACCCAAACAACTTGCCCCCCAGACCCGATTTGGAAGAATGACGGGTCGGGTTTGATTTAACTCAGAAAAGGAGGGAAGTAAATGATTTAATTGATCCAAAAATTTGAATTTAAACCGTAATTAATGAGATAACAACGGTTAATGATTTGCGGAAGTTGGACGGATAATGGGCGGTTTAATCACAAGACATGTGTTTAATGGTTACTTAGTGGGTACTTAAGAGAAATTAAAGCACAGACTCTTCGTATCCCGTACCTGGAGATATAAACAGAGGCGCGTCATTCTCCTCACTTATTCACCAACACAAACCCAGAATTCTTCGAGAGAGAAACCAAGAACCCGCATCAAAACTTCGCAAATTCCCCCGAGCATTGAGCTTAGAAACTGAGACTTGCCACTACGAACTCGTAAATCGGCAACTTTCGCTTCAGATTAAGGTAAATTCCTTTGATTTCAGTTTATTTTTCTTCGAATTCGAACTCCTTCCCCTTTTCTTTCGACTTTTCTCTTCGAAATAATCCATGGCAAGAGGAGTTAGAGGTAGAGCCCGTGCTCCAAGAAGAGCAAGGCCGATTCCCGATCCTAGGAATAGGATTGGGACCTGGAATGGTCAAAGGCCGGAGTCTGACCCTGCTGAAGGGATTAGGGCGACTCCCCTTTCCTCGGCTCCTCCTCAAAGAACGGATGAGCCGAGTGCTTCTGGACGGGACGATGAAATTCCCGCTGTCCTTTGGGATATCCTCCCTGGGTTTTCAGAGTGGGAGAATGCCGAAGTCGCTTCGGCCATGATAAAGAACCGCCCCTACTCATGGTGGGTAGAGAACGCCGATCAATATCGATTTGCTGAGCAAATTGAGTTGCACTACGGCATTTTTGAAGCTGATGGATATTGGTGCCGAATGCCCTCAGCATCCGATAGAATCCATCGTCCACCCCCGGGGTATGTGGGGGTGTACACGAGACAGCTTCAGTATGGGCTGAGGTTCCCTTTGGACGTTTTCGTCCGAGACTTGCTGATCCATTACAACATTTCCCTATGTCAGCTAACCCCCACCAGCATCCGAAGGGTGATGACATACTTATGGGTCTGCAAGTTCTTCAAATACGTGCCGAACCTGCACTGCTTCAGAAAGCTCCATCGGCTAGTGCCAAATATTCAGAGTGGGCACGGAAGCCATGGTTCTGGGTGGTATCGGATTGAGTCCCGGCCCCAATACTTGACCATGTGGCCAAATGACTCTTCAGACAAGGACTGGAGAGGTCAATGGATTTGGGTTAGGGCACCCATAGATCCGGGCCACCCTTGCGTCTTCAGCGCTCCCCGGTACTTAGCTGAGCCTGATCCCGAAATGGGAAGTCTAGGTCCCCCCGCAGATAACGGGGCGGATCCGAACCTGGATCAGCAACATATCTTCGGCAAGCTGCCGAACCCGGGGGGGAGTGGTCGAATGCAGCATATCCCGGAGACTTGGCTCCCCGATACGCATTACGTTTTCCAAGAGAATATGCTAGCAGCTGTTGGCCTCAGCCGAAAGTTTAAGGATGGTAAGCTTCTTCGGCTGGGGCCGAGGCTTTTAACTACCTCTTTTTCTTCTCTCGCTTTGCTTTTTTATGCTGTGCCAACATATCTGAGCTAAACTTTTTCCCTTTCCTTTTTTCAGAGCGGGACGAGACCAACGTTGGTATTAACTACGCTCGTCTTGGTGTTAACCGAGAGCGAGTTGTAACTGAACGGGCCCCGTCTATCACTGAGCCGAGGCATAGGGAAGTTCATCTGGACTCTTCCCACTTCCAAATTGAGGCTGTTGCTCTGTATCAGAGGCAGAAGCCTTGGTGGAAGAAGAGAGACCCTTGGTTTCAGCTGCTGAACGAAGAAGCTGAAGCTGCCCGCACAGCCGAAGAGGTTGCACGGGTACTTGAGGCTTGCGAAGGAGGAGAAGGGTCCTCCAGAGCTGCTGAAGCCGAAGCTGCAGCTAGAGCAGCTGAAGAAGACGAGGCTTTGCTGAAAACCTCGGTGAGCTTTCAGACAACTTTTTTCTTTTCTTCTTTTTTTTTTTTTTTTTTTTTTTTTTTTTTTTTTTTTTACTCACATTCTTCTTCCCCCCTGTCTGTTACAGTCTGAAGAGAGTAACAGACACAGAGAAGGCAAAGCTCCTGTTCGTCCCGAAGACCAAATACAAGAGTCTTCAGACTCAGATATGGACGAGCAGCCCCTTCTGAAAAGGCGCCGAAGGATGGCCATCATCGGCCCTCATGATTTTCAGCAGAGGCCGATGACCATCGGCGTCGCAATAAGGGAACCTGAGGAAGGCAATGGATCGCCGAGGGTTCCCCAGCCAACACCCCAATCTCCTCAAAAGACCCCTCCGCCACCTCCTGAGATGGAGGTGGATCAGAGAACTCCCGAACCTAAGGGAGGGGTCCAAGAAGAAATCAAGGAGAGTGCTGCTGAGCACGAAAATAAAGATGCCGTGATGTCAAGTGCTGAAGGCTTCACGGCAGATATCGCAAGAGAGGTTGAGGCTTTCGTCCTCACCCCTGAAGAAGAGGAGGTCATAGTACTTGACTCCTCTGAGAAGGACGATGCTGAGACAACCAAGGCTAATCAAGCTCCATCGTCGTCCTTCCCTTCTTTCCAGACTCTGCATTCTGGAGAAATGGGTTTCTCGGCCCCCCGAATTCCAATCCCAGATCACATCTGGGACCTCATATGGGGTCAAAACCGAGAAGGAGCTGCAGCCTACTTCGGCAATTTTGCTGGCATGTCCGAAGTAGACAGGGCAAGGATCTGGTCGCTGAAGGCCACTGCTGGGATGGGCGAATCCAGTAGATCAGTTCCTGACCCAGCCAGGTCTAACCAACTGCTGATGATGCAGGTAATTTTCCTTCATTTCCTCCGAAATTCAGCTCTATTTTTTTCTTATTACTTATTTTTTTTTTTGTCTTCCTGTTTTCAGTTCGTGCACAATCAGACTCTCACTGTAGAGCTGATAGATACCCTACAAGATAGGGTAGACGCTGCTGTGCACGAAAGGAAGGTGGCTGAAGAGGAAGTTAAGCTTGCTAAGCTGAAGCAAGCAGCAGCTGAAGAGAAGCAGCAGGAGGTTGAGGAGTACGGTAAAAAAGCTGCCGAAGCTCTGAAAACCTTCTGCGATGCTATGGAGATGGAGGTTTTTCCCCCACTGATGGAAGGGGAAAAATTCCTCCAGGAGCATATGGGAGTGGACGTCTCCAAATTCAAGGCTGCCGTTGAGAGCCGAATTCAAGAAGGAACTGCTGCACAAGCTGAAGTGCAGCAGCGTCTAGAGGCTCTTGAAGCCAGCCGAATGGCTGCTGAAGAGTTGCTCCTGGCCAAAGACGTCCAACTCTCAGAGGCTGCTGCTGCTGCTGAAGCCCAAAGAGCTAAATTCCAAGAGGCTGAGGATCAACTGCTGATCCAGAAAGTTGAAGTGGCCCAAGCTCAGACAAAGGCTTTCCAAATTCAGCAAGAGCTGAATGAGCTGAAGGGTTCCTCCTCCAAAGTCGCTGATGAGCTGAAGAAATCCAAGGAAGACTTGGAGGAGACCCAGAAGAAGCTGGCTGATGCTGAGGCTTTACTCAAGGTCCGTGTTTATACCCAAGAGGAATATGAGATGGGTTTCAGAAACGGATTCCGAGTATGCCGAAGAGTCTGCCTTCATGCTGAGCCGAAACTGGACTGGTCTAAATGTGCTGAGTGGGTCCAGAATCCCGAAGACCCTCACATGAAGTATGCAACTCCAGCTGAAGCTGAAATTCTTAAGGCTGAGGAAGCCGAAGAGGAAGCTGAAAGACTGGAGTTGGAAGCTGAGCAGAGGGAAAGGGAGGCTCGGCAAAGTGCAAAGCCCGCCTCTTCTGCTGCTGGGGCTGAGGCCACCATGGGACTCAACGCTGATCAGTCTGATCCGCCGGCTGAAGCATAGGAACTCGGGCAGTCGTCTTCAGAATCTTGCGGTTCATCATGTGCTTAACTTTAGACTTGCCGCTTTCTGAGTTTTTTGCCTTGTTTTTTGCTTCAGCTTGCCTTGTCGTACAACAGTTTTATTTTTTTGCTTATGTACGTATTTCGGCAGCTGTTATTTTCCGCTTGTGGGCGGCTGCCGATACTGAATTATTGAACTTGTAGCTCAATTTTTTTTCTTCAGTTGCTTTATTTTTGAATGCTTTACTGTTTCTTTTCTTCAACTCTGCCGAACATAGCTGCACTGCGTGCTTCTTGCCCCCACAGAAATTGAAGTATGACTTTAGTTGAACAAGCAATTTCTGAACTTCTTCAAAATGGATATCCGAAACAAAGGGCCAACTGAAGGCAATGCTTCTGGGATACAAGTCTTACTGAAGATTGACTGTCTGAAAGTTGGATATCCGAAACACAGGGCCAACTGAAGGCAATGCTTGGGATATTAGCTTTCTGGGACTAACCTCTTTAGAACAAGTCTTACTGAAATTTGACTTCAGCTGAAAGACCAGCGTTCTTAAAGAAGACGCATATCCGAAACACAGGGCCAACTTAAGGCAATGTTTCGGATAATGGCTCTCTGGGATACAAGGCTCAGTTAAGGCAATATCCCAGAATTGTCCATGGACTCATGTCTTTGGAGAACAGGTCTTACTGATGTTTGATTTCAGCTGAAAGACCAGTGTTCTTTAAAAAGACTGAGTTTTGTAAGCCATCTGAAACCCAGTTACCCGAAGGCGAAGGTTTCAGACGAGGCTGATTTAAAAAGGCTGTTATCCTTGATTTTCTGTCTATCTTTGAAAAATGGATACCCGAAACACAGGGCCAACTTAAGGCAATGTTTCGGATAATGGCTCTCTGGGATACAAGGCTCAGTTAAGGCAATATCCCAGAATTGTCCATGGACTCATGTCTTTGGAGAACAAGTCTTACTGAAGTTTGACTTCAGCTGAAAGACCAGTGTTCTTTAAAAAGACTGAGTTTTGTAAGCCATCTGAAACCCAGTTACCCGAAGGCGAAGGTTTCAGACGAGGCTGATTTAAAAATTTTCAACTGTTGCTGTTATCCTTGATTTTCTGTCTATCTTTGAAAAATGGATACCCGAAACACAGGGCCAACTTAAGGCAATGTTTCGGATAATGGCTCTCTGGGATACAAGGCTCAGTTAAGGCAATATCCCAGAATTGTCCATGGACTCATGTCTTTGGAGAACAAGTCTTACTGAAGTTTGACTTCAGCTGAAAGACCGGTGTTCTTTAAAAAGACAGGTTTTGTCAGCAATCTGAAACCCAGTTACCCGAAGGCGAAGGCTTCAGACGAGGCTGAATAAAAAACCCTCAAAGAGTAGATAGAACAAAGAAAATTTTGAAAGGATAAAAAGTTGTAAATTTTATATAAATGGCGGCTCCAAGGCCTGTCATTAGTTCAAAATGTACTTACAAAGATTGTTCTGCCCCGAAGGGTTTACACATGGTATTTTTTCAGTACATCAGCATTCTAGTGATTCTTCAACTCAGTTCCATCCAACTGCCGAAGTCGGTATGTCCCTGGCTGAAGCTCATCATAAATTTCATAAGGTCCCTCCCATGTAGCTGAGAGCTTCCCATGGATTCGGCCTTTCTGAACTGCAGCAGCATTCCGAAGGACAAGATCCCCAATTTTGAGAGGCCTTGCATGGACCCTTCGGTTATGGGAGATGAGGTCTGAACTTATCCCGGGCATATCAGCTGCCGAGAAAGCAAACACATCTCTGTTATCCCGCAGGAGCTGAATAAGTTCACAACGGGTGTTAGGATCAAGGTCCATCCCGATTGTTACACATTTCTCAGCATCTCCTTCGGCCAACTCTGCTGTTTCAGTCTGTTGGTCCATGTCCATTGCCGATGGACTGGACTCTTCAGAATCTGGTCTGCTGCCAATGTCAGCAGGTGTCCCAGTCTTTGTGTTCTTCGGCTGGCTCTCTGAGTCTTTCGGCTCAGATGAAGAGTCAACCTTTTCCCTTTCGGGACCTTTTTCTCTGGGCACTGATCCTTGGGCCGAAGCACTTAGGCCTTTCGGCTTTTTTGTGCTTGGCTCTCTTTCTTTTTCTTTCTCCTCCTCATCCTTGTCGTTATCTGGGCGACTACTGGATGGCTTGAGGTAGTTGCACCTTCGGGCGTCCTTCTGGTTGCCCTGTATCCTTTCGGGGAAGCCGGCGTCTGAGACGTAAATCATCAGCTGATGATAAGTTGAGACGACCCCTTGGATCTCGTGAATTATGGGTCTCCCCAAAATCACGTTGTACACTGAAGGAGCGTCGATGACCAAAAACTCAATCATGACGTTCCGGGCTGCCTCATCGCAACCGATGGTGACAGGAAGTGTCACCTTCCCATCTGGATAAGTTGAAGCCCCATTGAACCCGGATACCGGATAGGGTACCGGCGTAAGGTGCTTGGGCTTCAGCTTAATTTGGTTGTAGGCCTTTCGGAACAGAATGTTTGCTCCGCTGCCACCGTCAACAAGGACCTTACTGACGTCGTGGTTGGCCACCGTGGCGATGATCACCAACGGATCCTCGTGAGGGAACGTAATCCCCCGGCAGTCGGCGGCTGTGAACGTCATGTTCGGCACCGGCGACTGGGGAGCTTGAATGTCAGCGTTGTTCACCTGGTGAGTTAAAGCTCTAAGGTGACGCTTGTGCTCCCTCCGAGAGTATATTCCTCCCGAGATAACATTGATCGGAGGGAATTTCCCCTCCGGTTTTTTACTGTTTTTCCGAGGGAAATCAAGGTCCTGCCGAGGGTCCTTTGCTAGCCTCTCGGATTCTTTTTTCTCGCGGTGATCCGCGATGTATTTTTTCAAGTATCCCTTCCGGACCATGTCCTCTATCTGGTCCTTCAGCTGGATACACTCTTCAGTGTTGTGGCCCGAAGACTCGTGGAACTCACACCACTGATTTTTATTTTTTCGCTGATACCACTCTGGGAGTGGTCTCGGCTTTCGGTAACTCTGCTCCTCCTTCGTCACACTGTAAATTTTGGCGCGTGGAAGAGAGAGCGGAGTGTAGGACTCGTATCTGCCTGTGTATGAGGCAAACCTGTCCTTCTTTAGGTCGCTGGCCGAAGATGGCTCCGAGGCCTTTGATTTTCCCTTTGCCTTATGGCCTTGGCCTTCAGACAAGGGTATTTGCCTCTGTTTCCCTCCCCCGGATTGAGGTTGGGTTTTTGCTTTATTCCATTCTTCGGCTCGGATGAACTTATCCGAAGCACTAAGAGCTTCCTCCAAGGTCTGCGGGGTATGCATGACCATGAAGTCTAGGAATTTTCCTGGCTGAAGGCCATTCTGCATTGCAAAAACAGCTAGCCCCTAGTCCAGCTGGGAGACGCTTGATGACTCGTTACTGAAACGGGTCAGGTAGTCTCGGAGGCTTTCAGTTTCCCCCTGTTGCAGACCCATGAGCTCTGCGGTAGTCTTCTCTCGGCGGTTTGCCGTGGAAAACTTGCTCCTGAACTTGGAGGACAGATCATCCCAACCTGTTATGGAGCCTTGCCTTACTCCCTTGGAGATCCACGCTTGCGCGACCCCCTTGAGAGTGGTTGGGAAATATTTGCACCAAGTCGCCTCGGATCTGGGGCAAAGATGCATATGAGTCTCATACGAGGCCACGTGGTCCTTCGGATCCGTGGTCCCGTCATATGTGATATGCGACGGTATTTTAACCGTGGGTACGCGCTCTTCCAGTATCCATTGCTCGAATGGTGAACTAGCGGGAAGCATAATGGCCTTGCCCTTGTTCCTGGCCGAAGGGACCGCGCTCCGCCCTCTTAGAGAGGTAGGAGTGGTTTTCGTCCCTGGCTGGGAAGTCTGGGCCTCGGCTGCAGGGAACGTGAGGCGACTACGCACGCTCGGTTCCTGGCCGCCGAGTCGGTCAAGGACGCTTCTGCGAGCAGTCTCAGGTTCCCGGCGAGTAGATTCTGGCCGAGAAGCTGAGCTGCTGCTCTTATGCGCTGCTGGTCTTGAGGATGAGGATCCTTTAAATAATTGAGAGTTCTTCTTCCTCTGTTTTTCATTTTTCCAAGAATCCTCCTCCCACTCTTCCAGTTCCCGGAAGGAAGGAAGCTTCCCACCGTCATGGTCTAACTTCCTCCGCTGATGCCGGGTATGCGGAGGAGTTCGATCACGAGGCGGTGGCATATTCTGTGCCCTCATTGCCTCCATGAGTACTGCCAGCGCTCTTGCCACCTCTTCCGAACTGGGCCCTGTCAAAGGGGTCCCCGGCCGAGTGTGGTAATGAGGCCGTGCAGCCGATGGTTGGCTTCGGGACACTGAATATGTCCTATGATCAGACTGACCCCTGCTAGACCGAGAGTGGTCCGGCCTATATTGAGAGTCATGCATTATAGGAGATAGGGAATCCTCCTTGTGTGATCCTCCCCCCGAGCCGGCACCCTTGGGAGAGTTCCGGTCCGGCGTGGGCGATGGTGTAGGGGTTTTAGGCTTTTCGCCCGCTCTTTGACGGAGGCTTTTGCTCTTGCGGTTCTTAGCCATGGCTGCTAAGATAATTGCAAGATGATCTTGGTTAGGAATTTGGCTTAAAGATTTTTGAAAGTCTTCCCCACAGACGGCGCCAAATTGTTTCGGTTGAAAACAATGGGACCTTGCCGAAGGTCCACTGAAATGGAGAAGACTGGATTCGATCCAAGCTGTGTTGGGCCGAAGGTTTCCTGCACAGTGAACACACGTAAACTAGCCTCGGGGGTGTTTCCGAGGAAGGCCCCTCCGATGCTAAAGTCAGTACAATGTGTAAAAAGGAAGACACTATGCAAGAGAGTTTGTAGCTTGAGGCTTTTGTGGAGTATTTCTCAATGCAAGAATGAGCATATGAATTGGAATAATCAGTGTATGAGATAATGTATGTGATCATGTATCTGATCTCTCCCTGAATGTGTTAATATGAGGGCTTTTATACCTCATCATACTTGGAGAGGTTGGGCTTTAGCCCAATTGGCTTACTTTGTGGGCTGACTTTTGACTTTTGAGCAATTGGAGAGTTGAACCTTGACCTTGGGCTTTTAATTGGATCATTTAGTGCCCAGGCCCAATTTTGACTAAATTGGACCCAAACAACATGTATGTATGTTACATGACTTACTCTCTCCACGACGATCTTTCACTTGAAAAGCATTACTCACTGCTTCCATCACACGGTCTTCTTCGGCCACTACTCTAGCCCCCAACCTAAACTTCTTGCTTCTTACCCAACTGGAATTATCCGTGAAGCAAATGTCATTAACAAAACCAATTCCATTGTGTAAAACAATCTCACATTGCCCAACCAACAATGATCCTTTGTTACTTCTCCTAGATACTATATGTTTACAAAAGTCGCTCTTTGTCCAATTCTCTAGTTGCTCGGCCTTGAAATGACCTTGAATAACCACAATTTCAACCCGTTTTGATGATAAGGGACCGCCTGTAATTAGATGTCCGGAAACTGCATCGAGTAGCAGTACCTTAATAGATGAAGACCCTTCAGCTTCAACCTTGTTTCCAGTAAAAAGTTTGCAGGGTAACTTGTGCTCAAACTGCAGCTTAAATGGTATGGATTCAGATGGATCAACCGGATTTGGTAATGACCTGTGACATAATGAAGTTCGTTAGCTCAAGTGGTTAGAGCTCCTCTCCTATAGCTAGGAGATGAGATCGATTCTCATCACTCGCCCTTGTGGCTTTCTAAACACCAAAAAATAATGAAATTTGTTAGGCTTTGGATTTTATTACTATCTCAAATTCACCAACTTGTTGATTTTAGTAATTTAATTGGTTTTTGACTACAATTCTTGATGAAATCTAGTACAAGGTAAAGCGTGACAAAAAAAAAAAACATCTATGACAAAAAAAAAAAAAAAAAAAACATATTCAAGGAAAAATCAACCAAAACTATGAAGAGTGACAGAAAACAAGAAGATAATAAAAAATACAACGACTGAACAATAGATAAAATATAGAAAATGTAATTAAAGTACGATTTCTAAAACAAAGAGAAATAACTGACCTTGAGATGGTGAGAGGAGAGCGTTGAATTGTATGCTCCACTTTCTCTCGGACCTATTCATATTGTAATAATTACAAATTCAATAATTGTATCTCGTAAAGTCGTAATACATAACTTTATTTCAGACAAAAAAACACACATGACTATACTGTTATTGCCGTATAAATTAAATCTAATTATGTGACCAATATTTTAGTAATAACAAATTTAATAACTTTACTTTACGTGTTACATACGTGATTATTCATTTGAGACGAAAAAAGCAAAGGACGAATTGAAGGGGCACATGAATGAAAATATTGATTTGCACCATACGTCTATACAATTATTGCCGTACAAATTAAATCATTATATATATGTCCATTTATCACTTATTATTCTATAAAGAATGTTTGATAATCCATTCCATCAAATATTATGTACCCTTGACAGTTGACAGGGACATTTATGATTATATATTAAATCTTAATCTTATCTTAAAATGAATTGACAAAAATTAATTATGGACATGCAACCATACATGCACGAATGCACGATAATACTGTTTTTAGTTCTGCTTTTTGAAAAGTACAAAATAATCATAGATAGTTAATGTATGATAAGTGATAAGAAAACATAATTAGATAAAGAATCTGGTATCATTGTAAAGTTGTAAACCCATCTAAAACAAGAAAAAGATGCATCATATCATAAGCTACAAAAAGATCCAAAAAGCCGTACCATTTTTCTAAACACATTCTCCAGCTGAGCAGAATATCTTTGCATCCATAATTTGTCTTTAAACAAATACCTGGCAAACAAGTTATCAACTCGATTTAAATACCGGGTATATATTCCATTAAAAATATCTCGATATATGGAAATTTGGAACTTTTTATAAACATGCACCAATCTAGATTAAAAGATTGATAGAGAATATACGCAATTTGTAGATCAAACATGTTTTATTAAAATATATTCTACTAGTAAATCTCCGAAGAATAACAGTTTTGCGTACATTCTTTATCAAAAACAACCCTGTTAAGTTCGAGCAATTACTTACTTTGTGAACTTGAGGTGGTGCTGGTTTCCTTGTTCAGTATCCTTCATGGGTACCATCAAAACTAACTAACTAACTAACAAGTTTTTAGAAGCTAATTATAATAATTAATTGGTGAAACAATAAAAATGATGAGAGCTAGATTTGATTAGGTTAGAGAGCAGTTAACTAAAAACGGCTCAATGACGGCTAATTTATACTACAACAAGACTAAAGAAGAGAGGAGAGAGGAGAGAGAGTGAGTATGTGTAAACCGTGTAAGAGAAAATACGATTAAAATGAGACGTAATGTCGTGGAAGCTATTAAGGAAGCTACCATGATAGCATAAATTATAAACTGTATTATAAAAGTCAAGTTAAGAATGGGTTTGGTTAATAACTTTAATAATAATAGTGGGTTTATTATAAGGCAAAAAGTAAGGGGTCATTAGTTTTAATTTGTATCCAATAAGGGTTTCATTTGTGCTTACTTTGGGTCTTTTGGTATGTTTTGGTAAATGATACCATGCTTCCGTTAGATGAGAGGGTTCATTACTAATAACATGATGTATGCATGTCTTGGGAGGCCTTGTATTTTACATAATATGTGTTAGTATCAAATAGAGGTGTTAAAAAATGATTTGATCCGGCATTTATAGACCTGACTTAACTTGATACACACAGTGGCGGACCCAGCCTTGGTCCTGCTAGGTCACGTGACCTAGAAAAAAAAAAAAAACTTTTTTTTTAAATTAAATGGCACCCATTTGAATATAAGATATAAAGATTATTTTTGGTTATTATTTAACAATACAAACTTATAGCATAGTGGTTGGAGGGATTGAAACAAAGCCCAATAAGCAAGGGCCAAGCCACTTAGGTCTTGAGTTCGAGCATTGATACTACTTACACAATATTGTGACTTAATTTTCTTAAAAAACATATGATAAAACAAGTTTCTTTAGTCCCAATATGCATCCTCCTCCACAAGTGTAATTTTTAATTGTATATTTGCATAGAGAGTGATGCGTGATTCCAGAACGATACATACATAAACATTTGGTATTTCCTCCATTCATGTTTAATATTTTTAATTTGATTGGAATAATCAAAGAAAGAAGGACATCTAGGAACGAAACAATCTAGCGTTAGATTAATCATTAATGCAATTTAGTTAATAAACTATAAAGGGTTCAGAAAGTACTATTTCTATGATACCTTTTGCCAATACTCAGTGTCAAATCGAAAAACTAATTACGGAGTAGGAGATTATTAATTCTGTCTTGTAGGCAATATGGTAGGTCCACTTAATAATTAATTCAGACAAAAAAAGAAGGGGGTCGGTGGAGTGGTTATTGTTTATAATTAAGTTAGACATATAATCCCAAACTTAGATTCCTGTTTTATTGTCTAAACGCCTGTTTTTAGCATAACCAAAATCCCCAGAAAATTGGGGGAATACACAAGTTTTATATAAATAAGCCTATAAACAAATACAAGTATTGTTTATTAAAATTTTACAACATTATCTTTGGAGCACAACAAAATAAAATTAACATATTACAACTTAAGTTGAGCTGATCATTGCCCCGAATCCCCGATATGTATCAAGTATCTAAAAAACTCCTCTCTGTATCTTATTACTTGCTCAATTTGACAATTTATCTAGACATGAAGTTTAAGATGAAATATTAAAGTACTATTTTAGGATGGAAGTGAGTTGGTTGAAAAATAAAAATAAAAAAAACAACAAAAGTGAGTATAAATGGAGAGGCGAGAGAATATGAATAATATTAAAATATGATGTAACTATGTAAGAGGACCACTAGTGAGGAGAAAAATTTTCCGTAGTAAAATACTGTTAAGGAATTTCTAAAAGGTAAACGAAGCAAATAATAAAATACTGTTGAAAAAGGAAAATGAAGTAATAAATACGGAAGGAATAAGAGATACTCCTAGTAATCTATATTATGCTAGCTTTGCTGAATAGGGCCTATACATAAGTTGTAACAGCAGAATTCACAAATGCATACCAATAACACCAACATGAACAGATGGTAAACAATCAAACTCCAAGGCCTTAGCAGTCCCCACAAACAGACTTGAAGATCAAGTGATCAGCAGAATTGCAGAAAAAATACACTAGAATTGAAATTAGATCAGCAGCAAAACAGTCTGTATCAACATACTTGACAGTAGTAGAAGTACAATTACCCAGCTTGGATAGTAAGGAGATTTACAGGCAAACTGCAAGAAATTTATACAACATACATTTCGATGAGATTAACGATATAATTATGGGATTCATATATTATCCACTTATCCAGATGTTTAGGATACCAACACATGACAAACTATTATACATCATAGATTAAAGGGCTTAGCTATACATTTATGTTATGTGCCTAGCTAGCACAAAACCAAGACTACTTACATCTGGAATCATAGGGTAAACCCAATTACAATACAAAGAACCATGATTTGGCACTTCAAATACATTTAGGAACATATCAAACATCAAAGGAGAAATCCTTCGCAAGTTTCCCTCCTCCATAATGGCCTACTGGCTTACCCCTTCAAATATTCAAGGGGTAAGCTGCCTACTGACTGAAACACGGAAACTTTCCTTTCCTGACAGCTTCATCATGCTTAACTTTTACCCTCATAATAGCTCGAACCTTGCTCCATCCTTTCGGCTTTGTAATTTCTGAAGCATTAGCATTCACAGTAGAGGTGAAGGAGGGCATCCCTATATCAGAGTTATGGCTAAAACCCATATAATCACTGTTATTTCCTTCTTCTCCCATCAATTGAGAAGCAGGAAACCAACTTGAGGTTTCAAAGTGGAACATATTAGGGAAGGGTGGTAGCATACAGTCTTCCAGAGATGGAAGACTTCCATCCTCACTACATGATCCAGCTAAAAAATCCTTAAGTAATGGATTGTTCAGAACCATGGATTGATGCAGATGATGGCTATAATCCTCTGTATGGTAATGTGACATTTGATTCTCTGGTAGATCTGTAGTCAGAAACATTATTTTATAAGAGAATATTAATACAGTGATTCAGAAAATCTCAAATGGCGAAAATATGACAGCACAGATTTCATTTTATGATATTGTTCTGGTACAACTATATGTGACAGTCGTAAACATATTGTGCAACAAAGAATTAAACCAACGCCTCCTCAAGTACGTGTAATACCATAGCAAGACGGAGGCATACAGAATTGCTGCATGTTCAAGCCAGGAACTGTAATTGGGCAAATTGTATTGATAATAGGAGCATCAATTGGTGCCGAGTCACTCAGACTTTGATTAGAATCCCCTGAAAAGCATGAAGTAGCACGTTGAATTATTGTTTCCCATTTTTTCGGTGTTACATTCAGAATCTGCAATCAACAAATCAAACATAATTGGTTAGAATTTTACTTCAGAAAGTTAAAGCCATACAGAAACATTCTATTAAATGATAATCATCCTAAAGCATTAAAAGTTTCTTTACTTGGCGGAGTAAGGACTCATCAAGGTAATATTGTTTCACGAAATCCTTCACTTTGTAAATATTATGTTCAGCCAACCTTTTGCATATCTTCCCATCTTTTGCTATCCAGCACAAGCGCCAGACTTCATCTTCTGGAGCCGGAATCTTGTGCTTCTGGTAAACTGCACAGCATTAATAATCTCTGTTCAAAAACGTTTAAATGGTATGCTAGTGGATAGCTATTAGCTAACACCTATCAGCCAAATTTAACAAAAATCCTTTGTACAACTAGCTGCTAATACAATCCCCCAGTCAAATCAGTTAATAAATAACACCTAATGCAATCAATTATCAGCAATCAACTAATTGGAAAATAAGGCCTAAAGCAGTAAAGCTCTCTCCAGTTGTCAAAGAATGAAATGGGAGCAATAGACTAATGGAGATAAGAATGCCCTGCAAAACAAAAATGCAGTACAGGAATAAGGACTAAACACTTACTCTCTCCACGCCGATCTTTCACTTCAAAAGGACTACTTACCCCTTCCCTCACTTGGTGTCCTTTGGCTTCAACTTTAGCCCCAAGCCTGAACATCTTGCTTCTTTCCCAGCTTGAGTTATCTGTAAAGCATATATCACCAATCCAGCCGACCCCATTTTGCAATGAAAATACATGCTGTCCAATCAACAATGGCCTTTTACCATCCCTCTCAAACACAATATTGTTGTCAAACTCTTCTTCTGTCCAATTATCTAGTTCCTCAGCCTTGAAATGTCCATGAAGAACAACAATTTTCACTTTCACTGATGACAGAGGACCATCAGTTACTCGATGCCCAGTAACCGCATCAAGTAAGTAAATTTTGATTGGTAAAGGCCCTTCAGCTTCTACCTTGTTCCCAGTAAAAAGTTTATTAGGTAACTTGTCCTCAAACTGCAGCTTTAACTTTCTTGATTCACTTGGCTTAACCTGACTTGGCATCAACCTATGTGACAAAGTAAAAGCTTGAATTAAGAATACAGCTAAAAATTAGAAACATAGCCAAAGCATTAAATAAAGAATACCATACGTATCATATGAACCAGCCTTAGCCTCTTAGGCTTCATTCTATTCACCTATATAAAAGATTTGTAAAAATAAGCTCAAATAGGGCCAATAAGTTCATTCTGAAGTGAAAGATCAACATGGTAGAGTGGTAAGTAGTAAATAAGAGCACTTGATCTCCTTGTACAAGACCAACTTTTCTATTACCAAACAAATAACAATAGCTCTTAAAAACTTACTGAAGATGAGTTGAACATGAATCAACCTACAAGCATAAGACTAATTAACATTTCTGAAATATTTCATCATGTTAAACATAACCAATACAGCAAAGTAAATCCATTAAAATATTGATCAACAAACAACAAAGTATTGAGACTAGTATTTATACTCATTGAAACATAGGTAAGCGTGAGCCTAGAACACCTAGACCTGGCAAATGGGTCATTCGGTTCGGGTATGGGTCGGGTCGGGTCAAGTTCGGGTCGGGTCGGGTCATTTCGGGTTTCGGATTGATTTCAGGTCGACTGATGATCGGGTCGGGTCGGGTATCGGGTCAACAATTCAGGTCGGGTTCGGGCCGGGTCAAGTTTGGGTCGGGTCAGTTCCGGTCAGGTCAATTTTCGGGTCCAATTTCCGGGTCAACTTCGGGTCGGGTCAACTTCTAGTCGAGTCATATTCGGGTGATTCATTGGGTTAAATTCAACTCTGTATATATATTTATTTATTTTTTGACGAAAAACTCACTATATTTATTAAGGCTATTTTTTCATGGATTATAGTAATTGTTTGACTTTTATTAACCTTTTTTTTTTGTGTGTGTTTAGAATTTTAGGCTCTCCTGAAACTAAGAAGGATGCTCTAACTAATTGAGTTATACCTCACTCTCTTATTGATCTTAGTTTTAATACGTACTCTTATTATCATTGTCATTGTTGTAATAATTTCTTTGAATCATTCTTATACTCCCTTCGTCCCAAATTACTCTTAACGATTTGACATTTTGCACTATTCACACATCTCACTTTGACCATCTTTTTTAACTATTATATGAAAGTCAATGTACTCATGTAAGATGTTGTTGGGTCTATTTTAATGTATAATTTCCTAATATTAACTTTTTATACTACCTCTGTTAACTTTTATTTGTAACTTTGGGGTATTATTTGTGAGATATAAAATATTCCAAAATTGCAAATAAAAGTTAACGGAGGTAGTAACTTATATAATTATTTACTAAAAGAAGTTAAAGGTCGGGTCATTTTCGAGTCGGGTCAACTTCGGGTCTCGGGTCAACTTCGGGTCGGGTTGTTTCGGGTCAAGGTCGGGTCAGTTCCACTTCGGGTCCGGTATGGGTCGGGTCGGGTTAATTCGGGTTTTGGGTCAATTTCGGGTCACTGGTTTCGGGTCGATTTCGGGTCATGGGTCGGGTCATTCGGGTCGGGTCATCGGGTCTGGGTCAGGATTGCCAGGTCTAAGAACACCTAAGTCATTAAGGTCATAAACCCTATCCAATGCAACATGCTTTACTGACAAATAAACTCGAAAATTGTAGTAATAAAACATCAATAAAGATAAGCATTAAGGTGTCAAAATTACACAGCAATTCAAGGCCTAAGTATTACAAACATGAATAGCAAACTGACCTTAGTATAGAGTGGTAAGAGTGTTGTATGGCCAGCTCTACTTCCTCCCTTACCTGTTCATTACAATATTACATAATAACAAATTCAAATATCCAAATGAATTGAGAGTTATTGTCAAACTACATGAGTACATGACCACTGTCAATCAAAATCTTCTCAAAAATTTATTTGGCTAGTGAGTAGTGACAGGCCACCTCCTCAGGTTGCCCCCGCAAAGTTTTAATTCACAAATTTGACCGTCAATATATTCAATTATTTATTTGTTAAAATACACTTTAAAACGAATCTAAACACAGTTAACTAAGTGGACAAATTTGGAAAACATAATAAATTGGCATGGGGTAGATTTGTGGCCCATGGCTCACCAAAGGGTAGCATGTGGGTCGTGACTCATATATACCATGCCATTGGCCTGGTGTAATTTGTTGGCTGTGACACGGTCCGACCAAAGCGAGCCATGCACCTATACTGATCACAGCCTGGTGTAGGGTGTAGCTACCTAACATATGGCCATAAGACTTTATTTGCTACTCATACATAACAGATAACACTTCAACATCACAACAAAGTTGACTTGACCGTCCTACCAAATGCTAACCTCAGAAATGATATCCTTGTTTGAATAGCTTCCCGACATTAGGCCGTTAAATTAATTCAACTAAAGATTACAATTATATTTTTGAAAAGGACACACAAAAAGAGTGGGTTCTTTTGGATTAATAAATTGACAAAAATAAAATAGAAATAACAATGATCCTGATTCCAAAAAAGTGCAAATTTATTTATGTGAAAAGTCTAAAAGCACAAAATATCAAAAGATCAATAATATAAGAAATCCAGAAATAAAAGTTAAATGGTAGTACCACTTTTCGGATTGAATTCTCCAACTGGGCAGAATATGCTTGCAGCCATTTCTTATCTTTGCAAATACACCTAGCAATTTGACACGATTCAAAGTCAATTATTACTATAGATTTTGTCTTTCACATATACGAAATTAAAAACATAATAACACATAGATGTATTTTTAGAGATTTTACCATATACTCAGCATAAAAAACATTTCAGATTTCTATTTTCATGTTTGTAGGATGTTATTATTGAGAATTTTCCGATTGTAATTTTTATGTAACAAACAATCCCATCACACTGCATGCATGAATTAGGACTAAAAAAAGTGTGCATTACTAAAGAAAAATCAACCATGTAACTGGTGATTAAAAAAATACTCTTGTACTTTCAAAAAAAAAAAAAAAACTCTTGTAGTTAGGACTTAGAAATATTTTTTGTCAATACCTTTGTTCCTAAAATTAAAGAAAATCATGTAAGGTTAATTAAAAATAACTTTGTTGATTAACATCGAGCTCTAGGCTTTAGATCAAAGATTAATAAGCATGGCTCTATTTTAATGTTTGATATTTTACTTTTACCTCTTGGATAAATAAGTCGATCAATCATACACAACAAGTACTACTTACTTGGTAAACTTAAAACGTTGATTTTGTTGTTGAGTAGTTTGAAAGTGAGGATTATCATTCTCCACTTCACCTGAAAAAACCCTCTTCAACACCATCCAAAACAATGAGTTATTCAAATTCGCAAATTCTAAAAAAGAGTGATGACCAAATGGTTGGAGTAACTTATTCACAGCTCAAAAATGACATATTTATAGAATGAAAAAGAGAGGGAAACATGAATTAAGAATGTAAAAGTAGTAAGCAACCGCGTAGAAGCTTACATGTAATTGCCAAAATTATAGCAAAGTCAAGGAAACGCTATTAGATTATTAATGTTTACATATGATTATGATGGCCATGACTAAAACTTCTAGAATTCCTGCTTTCTAAAGGGAACAAAAATTGAGAAATAAAGAAAGAAATTTAGAATTCAAAAGTATGGTCTTGCTTAATTATATATAGTAATTAATTGTTTAGTTTACTAATTAAGTAGTTTTCATTGATGTGTTCTACTTAATCTAACAGGTGCAACAAGGATGATATTCCTAATCCTCTTAGCTTGGTAGGTATAAAGTGTTAATGGAGTACTTAAAGGATTTTTTTACTAGGGACTTATAAAGTTACCCTCAACTTAATTAGTAGTTAGTATTTTTTTGGTAGTTGTTGTTGAAAGGTTAGGAAAAGGCACCCTATTGAATCAGAATTTCATTCTCATTAGTCAACCTTAAAATATTTTGTTGAAAAATAGAGTTTATATATACTTTGATCAACAGATCAGGTAGATTAGAACTTCATTATTATGGAGAATGGAACATTTTGAGCTAGACCAAGGATGAATTCTTTGAAATACTTTGTACGTGGTATAGCATTTGAGTAGTTTTTAGTTGTCTCAATCATGTGTACAAATTATTGTTGTTGCTGAACACGGCCTTCATGTCATAATACTAATACAAGCAATGTTTACTTTCATTATTGCTACCAACTTATTTTGAACAACGCTAATAAAGTTCCAAGTTAATGTTTAATCAAGAAAATACAGATTAAGAGTCCAACCAATCACATAGAATTATTGAAAAACAAACACTCGTATAATTAAAATCCTGACCAAGATTCCATGCAAGGTAAAGCATATTCTTTACGAGTAATCTACTTTCAAAAGCACAAAGCTAAAATTAAGGAATAATTAGTACTTTAATTACTTGTAAAATGATAAATAAACTAAAGCTATACAGTCAACAATTGAACACAAGCAAGATTCAGGATTTCTTATTACATACTTGAGGTGAAGTGTATGCACGTAGGATTATTTGCTCCACCTCAGCAGATTACATCACTGAAATTCAAAAAATCAAACAAAATTAGCCTGCTTTAATTAAGAATACTCTTCCATGTCATATTTAGATCTAATTTTGGTAATCGTTTGATTAAAGAATATAATTTATGATCAATACTTCTTGCGTGCAAACCTTAGTCTATCTCATTGCTCGTCGTAAACCCTAGTTTTTCTTTGTCAACCTATGGCCTACCATCGACGTTTTGGGTGATATTAAGCCGCCTTTTCCCTCTTGGATTAATTGCTTAGTACATGTATATTGTTAAGATACTATATTTAAGAAGAAAGTGATTGATCACAAATCAACTTAGTTGGCTTGTACATCTAATGAACTGTAGTTTCTTCTAAAATACTCCTTAATTTCACTAGCATTAAGCTAAGGTCTGCTTTAAAGTTCACTCAATCAATCACTTGCTTTTTAAGTACTTTCTCCTTCTCAAATTAATTGTCACACAATCACATACAAGACAATTAATTAAGTAATAGGGGGTTACGGTGATGAGCAAATAGAGTTACCTTAACGGGTATGTAGGTTAATTAAATGAGAAATGGGGGTTACTTGTTAAATAAGTGGATTTATTCTTTTATTTTTTAAAACAAACGAATAAGGGTTACTTGAATGAACAAATTGAGTTACTTAATTCGAAATTACTTAAATTCACTCATATAATGTATGTATTTGGGTTACTTTTATGGATAACATGAGGTTACTTTTATGAAAAATTGAAGTTACTCATACACATAAATGAAGATTACTCTTATAAATTAATGTGATTACACCGTATGACTAGCCACATACAAGACTTACCCATCTTTTTTTCATAATACATCGGTCTCATATTCTTTACATACATTCAAAATTTATGCCAAAATGATTTGCGACAACTAAACTATAAGAATGGTTTTTATTTTAGCTAGTTGTTAATTATTACATAACTGCTGCTTCTCTGTGATTATATTAACTATTATGGTTATGTTAAACTATTAAAATATTAAGCAGTGGATTATTTGTAAGTAGTTAGTGATGAAAGTGCTTAGTAGCCACCAACTCACCAATGACTAAGACTCAGTGAGTAGCTTTCAGTGTTCCCTGCCCGTTCTGCCCGAAAAGGGTGCTTGCTGCCCAAGTATGGCGGCCCAGACAGCAGTCTTCTAGTGATCTCATACAAAACCCCATTTCACGCAGTGTTAGATTCTCAGGCTACGTAACTGATTGGATCCTTGTTTTTTGGAATTTTTAATTAATTGTTGAGTGTACGGATACAATCAGATATTGAGATATAATCGTAAATTATGTCTAAAGTTATACAGTACTTTACTCCTTAATTTATTGACAAAATCCACGTGTCACAAGAAATATACATGTAATATACTATTATGTGGAATACATGTATTTACATTTTTATTTTAATTTAATTTATGTACCCCTTTATTAGCCAATCAATCCGTCGTTTAATTAGCCTCACTATAGTAGATTAGTAGGTTCTTAGGGATTTGATTAGCAAACTGGGGTTGCTAGCTACCAACCTTCCCGAGTTTGCTAGCTAGCATCCCCCCTTCCCCCTTCCCCCTTCCCACCCGACAAAGCCTTGCTATGTGCATTTACCCTCACAACTATTCTTCCCTTCATCACTAATATGGAAAGCTACTTGAGACCCAAGCTCCATGCTAGATCAAGACTAGGCCTGTGCAATGGGGCGAGTTAGGGTGGGGCTGGGTCAAAATTAGATGGGTCTAAGCTCATTTATACACAATAGATTTTTGACCCTTTAAGAGTTTGCCCCATTTATGTGGAGGGGTCTGTATCGAGTCTGACCCGTACATTTTAAGGTTGGGTCGGGGCTTTTATCGGGGCCCTGCCCCATTGTACAGGACTAATCAATACCTGTACGCAGGGTCCAGGTCCATATAAATCCATCTTTCAAAGCTTAAATCATTTCAAGATAAACTACCTGCTAAAAAGAACTCTCAAAACAACCCCATATGTATTCAACAATCAAAACTATACCTGAATGGTGGTGCTTCTCAACAATTAGATCTTTCCACCACCTGATATTCCTCGCAGAGTAATGCCTCTGAATCATATCCCTTCACATCTTCTCAGTTCTCTTTGCTGGAGAAACCTGATTAGATCCTGCGATGCACACAATGAAGAATGAACCAAGGTACCAAGCAAATCAACAAGGACACCCATTAAAAAAAAATTGTACTCAAATCATACGAAGTAATAAGTCACTTTATATTCCTTAAAAGTACCATCACATTTACAAGTAATGATTCACTGTCTCACTGAGTCACTGACAATGCCCAGCAAGTATACATTTTTCCCACAGGACACACACAAAAAGCAGCAACTAGAAGGCTTATTCACATCATACAAAAGCCACCTATTGGAATAGATGGCAATTCTGCCTTCTATACACTTTTTAATTATATAGTCACAATGTAATTTCGACTTAACGCCACCCTTTTCTATGGGAGCCGCAGCCCTAACTATACCTAGCAATTTCAGAGTTCGGAGTATGAGCAGTGTGGCAGCATCTGTATTAATGATAGCCGAAAGGAAATTTTGCTTTCCTTCTAGCAGCAGCATTTCGTCTAACAATCTTCCACATAACAGCAGCTCGGATCTTACACCATCCTGCCCTAGACTTTCCAGAGCCTGAGATAGCACCACTAAGATCAGGAAGCTGGGAGAGGATATCAAAATGAGTTGCAGGAGATAGAGTTGCTAAAACGTTGTCCCCTTGGCTCCAATTTGTTGCAAGAGGATAGAAGGGTGAGGTTTGAATATGAGAAAACTCTCCAAACTGACAGTTTTGCGCAAAAGTTGTCATTGGACTATTTTGGTGCCAGTTATAGGTTTTGTCAGAGAGCTCAGAAGCGTAATCACCCATTAGGAAAGTTCCTGGAGTAAACCCCTGTATCGGTTGGTTAGGCTGAGATGCTGATTCAACTTCAAATGTATAGCCATCTTCAATTGTGCAGGGGTATGATGCTGAATCTGAAAGATTAATATCCAACTTCTTATCCGGTTCATCTGTACACATATAGTAGTAATATTAGAAGCAAAAAAAATTGAGCTTAATAAAAAACATTCAGCATGAGCATTCATCCCAGAATAAAAGAACTCCAGTCCACATAAGCAATGAAAAATCAAGGATAAATAACAAAGCATGCTCCTAGATTATTCACCTACAGTGGTAGTGACCTAAACTTATTCAGCCGTCAACTTGCACAATAAATAGTAATTTATAAAGTAAACTTCCACCGCTGATCAAGCACGTCCAAAGAATCAATTCTGCAGGCACGCATATTGCAATATTGAGCAACGGCAGTACCAGAAGGATGTCTGTGTAAACAACAGACGAATTACATCCTGTGTTATTCCATATTACTCCAGAAGGGGGATTCAATTAGTCCCTAGAATTTGTCCAAAGTCATAACCCTTGTTAAATAGGAATTTCAACCAGCTTTTACTATCACTGAAGTTTGAAGCACCGATCCTTATCTCACAAAAAAAAAAAAAAAAAAGTTAACGGAGATAAACTTTTTACGAACTTCCCCAATTCCCCCTCCATTTCTAACAAAAACAAAGTTGACGTGTTACCTTGATCTATAAATGAAAGAGCATCATGCTGTAAATCCAGCTTTGGAGTAGAAAATAGGAGATCTTGTTCAACAGTTGGTTCCATTGAAGTAGATATAACTGATGGATTATTAACTGGAACTAGCTGGTTCAAATTCATGAATGCAAACTGCTTCAGCTTCTCCACCAGAACCTGACAAATCATTACACAAGACAGATTAGCCAACAATTATTTCAGAGTAGCAAAAATCCTACACGGTACTATGATCTATTCACCTTTTGACAATTATCAAGAGCATCAACAAGCTGGTAATCTTGACCTTCAAACTTCACAGCTATGACTTTGTAGACACAGTTGAACAGGAGCTGAGCAGACTCCGCTTCATTAATGTAACTATAGTATGTGTTGTTCAGATGGCATTCATTAGCATGCTTCACCATTATGTCCCATGTTCTATTAGCAACCCCTTTCCCAAGGACCTAGGACAGAAAGTTACAGATGGATTGAATTAGATCACATAAAGGCACAACTTTGTCTAATGATCATCTAAATACAAAAACAATGTTCTTACAGTCCGTAGAAAAGATGAATTCATGTGATATTGCATCAGGAAATCTTTTACTGTCTTGATTCCATTTTTCTCCAATTTCTTGTGTGATGCCCCCTGTTTCGATATTTTTTTTAAACGCCAAACTGGATCATCCAAGGATGGTGTATTGTGCTTCTGATAGGCTGCAAAGTCAAATTATAAATACACAATTAGGAAACTACAATGGAATCATGAGCATTAGCTGTTTGAAACAAAAATTTTAAATATAATTAAATAGTTCCTGTTCAGTCAGTGCAGCTATTAAACAGCGGACATAAATCTATTTTGTTCTCCATGTCTAGACAGACAATATATAAAAGTTCCTCTATCAGTTTATCTGTATGAATATATCAGTCCCTACAACCATTAGTCAAACCTTTTTTCATGTTATATGGACTGCAGGGGATGCTGGGGTGTGGATTGCTTGTTAAGAAGCTCTATACATCAAAACAATATGCAAGTAATACCTAGAAAATGAAAAAAGGAGCAAACCTATACGAAATTGTCAACCAAGTAAATAAAATGGGACGGCTTAAATATAAGTCATATATATGATGTCTGATCCCTTCTCAGTTAAGCTTCCTACTTCAGAAATGGACAACTAATATGGTGCTAAGCTATAAAATCATTATACAGATACAGATCTATTGTAATTTGTAATATCAAAATAAACTATCTTGAAAGGCATGTACCACAAAACTTTACGTTTGCAATTCTTCAAAGGGTTTT